AAATTGTTTTTTGTTTTTAGGCATTATTTATGATAAGTTATATTAAAATTTTTCTTTTACTGTAAAATGGCACTGATTAAAAATTTTTGAATTTTTAAAATTAAAAAAAAAGTAAGTTAGTTTGTGCTTTTGATATATCCATTACTAGACGTGTAAAGTGTCGAAGCTAACTTTGTAGTCCGGCACATGGGTGAGTCTTCGGTTTGAGCAGCGGCTGTGTGTGCCGATCTAAAATGAAGGATCAAAACAGAGTGTAGCATGATTTATTGTAGTCATATTTAGACTATCGTGAAAAACAGGCTAACTTCTTTTAAATTTGTTTTGGCCTCTCCCGGCTGTTCGTTATAAAGAAGTCTTGCCATACAAGAGTTTTAAAATTACTGTGTAGTGTTTGTTCGGAACAAAGTTAATTTTTATACATGGATTTTGTCATAGAAGAGTTTGTTTTTTAGTTTGTTATACTGTAGCTCGTTATATAAGGGTTCGACTGTAAAGACAGGTTTAACTGTTATTATCTACGACTACCATCTGTGGTACTATTTCGACCAAGCACTACCCTACTATAAACTACTGCGAATGAAGCTGCTTCTATTAAATGACTCAGTCAAATCTCGTGCGGTTCAATTTCCCGCGAAGCGAAAAAAACACAAGAGACGGAACAAGTGGTGATGTCGTAGTAGTCGTAGTAGAGTAGTCGGGTTATAGACGAGAGGAGGAAGAAAAAAAACCCACAGCCGAATCAGGGAGAAAAGCGAGGCCGAAACCCCGCTTCTCGGCTTCTGGCCACGCAGCGGGCTTCTGGCCCCCCGAAGCCACTTCCGGCCATGATTCTCTGGCTTTTCCGTCCATTCCTCGGCCCGTCCCTGCGCTTTTTCATTGTTCCGGAATCTTTATTGAAACGTGCTCCCAACTACTTTTGTCATTCCCGATGCACTTTCGCCAAGTTTCGGCCCTTTAATTAAGTTCTGATTTACGCGCCTTCGGCCGATGACTTTTCGGCTTTCTGCTGGTTTTGGGTATTGTTTTGCGGGGACAAGGATGGTGCTATAGTTTTTAGGGGCAGGTTGATGATTTTTAGGTCAAAATGTTACTTTTTGTTTTTGATATGATGATTAAAAGTTATCATTAGGCTATTATTATTCTTTTTTTTAAAGACTACAAAACGTTGTTGCAAAACGTTGACGTTGTGTAGCAAAAAACGTAGAAAATTAAAAAATTGTAATTAAAATTATTTTTCTGAGAAAACGTGAGCGGGGTAAGTCTAAATTTACTAAGTTAGGTGCGACCTGTACAGGTTTGTTGCTGCTAAATGAATATTGAAATCGCCTACTTTCTGAAACAGAACGCCAGAGTTTTGCGAGGACGTGTCTTAGTCCTTCAAATATATTACTTTTTTATATACAATGAAGCTTCTGCATAACAAAAACTTCTATAAAGAAATCCTCGTATAACTAACAACTTTTAACTCTTTGTTGAATACTACACAGAGCACCTAAAACGTCTTTATACTGAAATATTTCTATAACAAACAATTTTCAAATTTTTGAACGATTTACAGAAGTTTCTCAGTATCATTTCAGAAGGTCATTTTGATCTTTTTCGAATTTTTTATTTTTTAAAAATATTTTTAAAGCACTTTTTGAAGAAAATGATCCTCAAACTAAATGGTCCAAAAGCTAGTTAAATATTTTATATTGTGTATGCACATCCTATTGTCTAAGACTTTTCAAACAAAAATTTTGAAGTGAATTTTAACTAGTTTCACAAAAGAAGAACAAAGAAGTCACAAGTAGATGTGTAACATTTTTTTCAGATTACTATCCTTTTTATTAAAAATTTTCTTCAAAATGTAGGACTTGGCATCCCTCTTGTTCAGTTTGGTTAAAGTTGAGAACTAATTTTAAAGCATTTTTGATGGATAATTACCTTTGTTAATATGTCTTTCTTCATGTAAATCTTTATCCAGTTATTTGGCTTAAGTTTTCCGAAAAAAATGATTTATTTGAGTTTTCTCAATTAAGGTTTGTTTTAAAATATAATCAAAATTGAAAAACATAAAACATTTCTTTTAAATTTTCAAAAATGTTTTTATAGTTGTCTTTAATTTTTAGCCAACTTATTAACAATAGTAATGGCTCTTTATTTCTTGGGAAGAATATTTTGGACTGGTCAAGCGAATTGTTCTTGACGTTTTCTTTTATAGTACGTACATACTGACGATAGTGTAATTCTTCACGCTTTTAAATATTACTTTGGGGAGTTTGTGGAATGTTGTAATGGATTGATATATCAGGGCTATAACTAAGTCTAAGACGACGATCTATCAATTCTTTTTTTGGTTTTTTTGATAGGATACTACGGTTTATTGTTGCATACATCATTTTTTGAACTTTTTGATTTTTGATATGATTTTTGGACGTTTTACTATGATATCATTAATTAATTCTAGCTCTAGCCCAGAGCTTTAGCCCAGAGCCCCAGCCCAGAGCCCTAGCCCAGACCTAGCTCAGAGTCCGAGCTCAGAGCCCTAGCCCAGAGCTTTAGATCAAAGCCTTAGCTCAGAGCCCTAGCCCAGAGCTTTAGCCCAGAGTCCTAATCCAAAGCCCTAGCCTAGAGCCCTAGTTGTAGCTTTAAGCCTAGCCGTAGATTTAGCACTAGCCTGAATCAAGCCTTGCTTTTTTTCTGAGCTAGTCTTATCCCAGCTATGTTTTGGTTTTACTCTAGTCCTACCCTGACCAAAGCTATCATTACCCAAGTTTTACCGTAACATTACTTTAGTCATGCTCAAGCCTTCTCTTAGACATGAGCTAGTCTTACAAGAAAACTTTGCTTTAGCCTTAGCTCTATCTTAGCCTACTCTTTCAATAGTACAACAACTTCACTAGTATGGTAGAACTTCACCTTACTATGTACTAGAGAAAGTTCATACGACAAAGTAAAGAGACAAAGATGAGGATGCAAGGTTACTTTTGCAGTACGCATTCTGTCAGCTTTATGAATTGCTTTAGGGATTTTTTCGCTTTGAATGACGTTTTTAAGAACGGCTTCAAAAAACGCACTGTTCCGGGTTGTGCACATACAACATGTTGATTGTTTTGGCGTAAAAAATTGGCGTAAAAACAAGCGTTTTTTGGACTTTTTAAGACATTTTTCTGTCATCTTTATGACTTTTAAGGAAGGCAGGGGTTGGAGCAGTTCTAGGCGGGGATTTTGTTGTTTAGGGTGAGGCAGGGGGTTTAAAAAATTTTAAAAAATGTAAAAAAATTTTGATTTTTTTACGTAACCGGGAGAGGGTCTCAATTACAAATTTTTTCAAAAAAAAATTTTTTTGGGATGGATAATCTCTTATTTTTAAAAAATTTGAATTTTATCACTGTACTGCCTTCTTCTCATTCCTTCCCTTCACCCCTCTTCTCTCCTCTACCCTTTTTCTTCCCCCCTCCCTTGTACTCCTCCTCCTCTCCCCCTCCCCCCCCGCCCCATCCCCAAAACCCTTTTTTCTGTTTTTACAAAAGCCCGAGGCTAATCAAGTGTTGTTATAGGGCTTGTTAAGAGTTTATAAACGCGAAGACTTTGACATCCGGAAACGGCTTGGCATGAGAGCCCGGATTTGGGGGGATGCTTTGTCTCCAACTCGGACGATAATTCGATTCGACATTCTTCGCCGCGGCCTTCTAAAACAAGGTGGCTCGAGCTTGTCATCTACAGTTTCGGAGCGGTTTTTTTCGGGTTTTTAGGCGTTTTTTGGTTTGAATTTTGAATTGACTGGGGTGAGGGGTGTAAGGGAGCAGCGGGTTAAGGGGAGGAAAATTAAGAATTAGCGGGGAGGGGAGGGGAGTGAGGCTTTCTGTACTGGCAAGGCGCTGAGTTCCGTGGCCTAGAATATGAAGAACGTATGGGGCCAAAACTAACGCTGATCGTCTTCTAAAAGCTTAGGGCAGGACTAGAGCAAGACTGGGACAAAGCTAGATCAAGGATAGAGCAAGGGCAAGGCAAGGCAAGGCAAGGCAAAGCAAGGCAAGGCAAGGCAAGGCAAGGCAAGGCAAGGCAAGGCAAGGCAAGGCAAGGCAAGGCAAAGCAAGGCAAGGCAAGGCAAGGCAAGGCAAGGCAAGGCAAGGCAAGGCAAGGCAAGGCAAGGCAGACGTAGGGGTATGTTATAATAAGGTAGAATAAGCTTTTTTTAATTTACAAACTTTTAAGATCTACTGCACTTTTTACCTCCGGCTAGAATCAGGCTCTGCTCAGCCTCGCGGGTGTTTTTATTTCATTTTTTTTGGCTGGCACGGCCTACTGAGCTCCCTATTTTCTTATTTGATAAGCTATTCTCCTCTACACATGAGTTCTGATCTGTCAAACTATAAAAAGCAAAAAAAAGTTTTTAAATTAAATTTCCTAAACTTTCCTAAAATGTCATCAAGGTGCACTCCCGGCTTGCGGATCCTCGTTATGAGCCGAGTACATTTTTGACAACGGAAATTGGTTACTCGTTTCACTTTTTTCATATATTTATACGCATGAATGGCGCGGTGTCGTATGCACATACCACCACCGCTGCCATCCGAAGCAGATGCTCCGATTTTGATACACAAACTTGCTCTACATTTTATTACTTTGCCTCTACCTTGCTACTGTGTTTCGATATTTGTCTGCTCGGCTACTACTTTTGATATTGGTCTATTCTTTTAGATATTTGAGGTAGTGAAGGCTGATAATATAGAGTGAACTAGACTTTTATTGATCTGCTTGTTAAGCCTATGGGATTTTGCTAAGCCTAAAGCATTTCTTAAGGCCTAGTTTATCTAAATTATTTTCTAAGTTTTAAAGCTTTTAAAAATTGATCTACCTACCTTAAAAATTATATTATTCACCCTAAAGCATCCTTAATATCAACAAAAAATCTAAAAATCACCCCCCCCCCCAAGATTCACTTTCTATTATTAATATTTACCACCCCCACCACCCCCTAACTACCCAGCCCAAAACCCGCGACGGATGACTTTATGCGGATCCTCAGGCGTTCCGAAGTTCTGCTCGCGCCGAACACTCGAAACTCAATATTTGCAGCCGTTGCCACCGCCAGCGCGCCGGCCTTGCGCTGGATGGACTTTATTACCTCATTCGACATTCGCCTCGAGAAAGACGTGTACTATGCGGGCGAGCCGGTAGTCGGTTGTGTGGTGCTCGAGAACTCCGAGCCAATTAAGATTCGAGGTGAGCACGATTTGAGATTTTTTTAAAATTTTTTTACATTTTCAAGTTTTTTAAAATTTATTCTATTATACCAAAAATGCATTTTTTTTGAAAGTTTTAGAATTTTTTACTCTCAAGGTTTTTCGATAAAATCGTGACATTTCGTCGAATTTTTCAATAACTTTTTGACATTTTGTCAAATTTTAATTAAATTTGATTTTGCTATACCAAAAATGCATTTTCTTCGCAAATTTAAGGCTTTTTTTGATTTTTACAATTAAAAATTTTCCAATAAATTTGTGGCATTTCGTTACATTTGCAAAAAAGCGTAAATAATGTGCGAAAAATGCGTTTTTGTGTAAAGTGAGCTTTTTACTTCTTCACTTTTTCAAATTTTTCAATACTTTTGTAAGAGTTTGGCGAAACTACTAATACTTTTGTGACACTTCGTCAAAATTTCCAATAACTTTTTTACATTTCGTCAAATGTTTAAATAATTTGATTTTTCAACAAAATCATGAAAAAATATTATAAAAAATTAAAAATCATTATAATTAAACATTTGGCCACTTTAAACTGGACTATTTTTAGGAATACGAGTATTTTTGCGCGGTCGAGCCCGCGCCCAATGGAAAGTCCTAAAATCGGGCGAAAGTCGGACCTTAAAAGACGACCAGTACCTATTGGACGAAAAGTACGTCATCTGGGGCAAGGACAAGAACGATGACCCGGAAGGCATTGAAGTGCTACAACGTGGCCCTCATCAATTCAACTTTACATTTCAACTACCACAAAGTCAGATGCCATGCTCGTTGGAGACTAAAGCGGGTACGATAAGGTACTATGTGAAGGTGGTCATTGACATACCTTATGCCAGCTCACCACAAGGTATCAAGTACTTTACGTATGTGGGCCCACATACGGATTGTATGGACGAAAAATATTTGACGCCATTGACCGGTCAAGACCACAAAGTACGATGCTTTCGCTGCTGTCGACGTGGTATGATAGCGTTGCGGATGGTACTGGAGAGGACGGCGTATTGTTGTGGAGAGAATCTCAAATTCAAAGCACATATCGAGAATCACCAAGATTTTTCTATCACTTTATGCACGAGGTTATATCAGGTAAGTTTTCGTGGTTTTTTGTTTTCCAATAAATTTGTGACACTTAGTCTAAATTTCCAATAATTTTGTGACACTTCGTCGATTGAAAAAAGCGCATATAATATTCACAAATTTATAACCTTTAAGGCTTTCCATATTATTTTAGCTTTTTCAATATCTTTTTGACACTTCGTCTAAATTTCCAATAATTTTGTGGCATTTCGTAAAATTTATAAATACTAAAACAAATTACTCAAAAACATTTTTTTTGCATTTTTCTTCACAAAAATAATTATAAAATCTTCTACAACATTACCTTTAACTCCATATTTTTAGCACGTTGAGTATAGAATAGAACGAGGTACGAGTGAAGTCAAAAGCGTAGTAAGCATGGTGCTAGAGCACCGATCCCCAACAATAGCCGAGAACTCTCGAGTAAAATTCGACCCGAATGAAGCGCAGCCAATCAAATTACCAGTTGTACCACCAACGATGGTCGGAGTGTGTCGATTGATCCAAGTGTACTATGTGCTCAAGTTTTGTATCGAGGACGAAAGGAAGAATGAGTCGCTGGAAATGGACTTTCCTCTAACTGTAGCCACGGTGCCGTATCGGTCGAATCAGTCACAGGTCTACTCTGTCACTTATGGTAGGTGTTATATTTATGATATACTGCTTGAAACTTAAAAGTAATCTACATTCTTGGAGATGGGGATACCTACAAAAATGATTTTTTGCACATTTAAAGTTGAGACTTTTTTACGCAAATTTTGAAACATTTTAGGTTTCTGCTTTGCATATTACGAGCCACAGAATGTATCCAAACGTTTATGTAGGATTTAACAAAAGTTCCAAAAAATTTTTGGCAAAAACTGTCAAAACATTTAAGCCTTTTTGTTGAAAATTTTTGAAATTTAACAAAATGCGAACCAATAAACATAGAAACATATCTTGATAACAGTTGTAGTATACCAAATTTTAAAAGTTCCAAAAATAATTTTTAAAAAGCTGCTGAAATTACTGACTGCACTGTGCAAAAAAACGCCATAACTTTTAGGACCTTTTGTTTAAAAAAGAAAATTCACAAAATACAAATTAATAAACATAGAAATGTAGCTAGGTAACAATTTTAGTATATTACGTTTTAAAAGTTTCAAAAAATATATATTTTCAAACATCTATCAAAATTATTGACTGCACTGTGCAAAAACAGCCATAACTTACGAGCCCTTTTATAGAAACTGCTTAAAATTTTCAAAAATACTCTAAGAAACAACTTCAAACTACTACAATGTAAATTTTTCAGATTTCTGCGTAGACTACATAGAAACAGGCAAATATATATCGACCGAATTCCGCTTGGGCCATGTTTATGATGGTGACAATGGAACGTCGGAAGAAGTGGAAGACATAATCCTATATCGACCAGTCTATGTTACAGTAGCTCACAAAGCTCGTATGGATAAGCTATTAGTGAGTTTTAAAAAATATTTTACATTTTTTGACCATTTTTTTGAACAGTTTAAAAAAATAAACAATTGAATTTTAAATTTTAAATTTCCCGCATTTTTTGGCATAGTGTTTACATACATGACTTATTAAACTTAAAAAATACAATTTCATGATATCTGAATATCACTTTTGATAAAAAAAATAATTTGCAGGACTCCCGCCTATCCGATTCACCTCAATCTATCCGAGAGCTACCCAAGGAAGACTCGATCAAACGCCTACCAACAACAACACAATCAGCCGAACCCTTGAACACTATCGACGGTGTTATTCAGCCGGTGAATGGGGATCTCAGCCCTAGGACGGCGTTAGAAGACAGCAGCAACGAGGTCATACAGTTATATTAACATTGGTCTATGATAATATGTTGTAGTAGAAAGCAGGGCAAAGCAGTAGAATCGACGTGGTGAGGGGGGGGGGATTACTCTAAAATTTTTTTTACTCAGTCCATCTCAAAAACTTTCCCTTCTCCCCCCTTCTTCACAATTTCCTAAGAGACCAAACTCCCAAACTCGCTTGCTCTGCACTAGTAAAGGGTATATTATAGTACTCTAAACCTTATTATATATGTTATACCTGAAAATACTTTACAGTATTTTTCATTTTTTTTCATTTTTTTTACATTATATGTTATTGTCGTACTGTAAGCTACTTTAAAATGGAGCTTAATTGCCTTAAAGTTAAGGAATTCGGTACTCATGATGACGCTGTTTACAGTACGACGAATATCTTTACATTCCGCCCGTTTTTTTAAATATAAAAATGATAAATATATCATAATTAACATGAATTTTTATATCTTTGGTTAATAATATAAGATGTCTTAAGATATAGTAGCTTAAAAAAAGTTTAATTATATAATAATTTACTGTAGGTGCTGTAACATATGTATTATTTCAATACTGAAACATCAATTTTATAAGTTAAGCATTGTAACATCTGATCTATCACTTATATATCGTAACATCAAATATAAGTTCAAAAAATAAGTTACAAATGAGTAGCCCCTTGAGTCCTTCGATTTTGTTGCTGTTGCCGTTCCTTATCGACCAGTGCACTCAATTCATCGTACCGTTCCACCAACTGTTCGCCTCTTGAATGTGATTTGACAGTTAAGAACGGTTGAACATAATCACGGTCTACTTCGCTGACTCGGCGACGCCACTACAATAATATAAGTATTAGTTTGTTCAAGAAGTAATGAGCCATTCTATTAGGTGCCGACATAAAAAACCCGCCATTTTTTACAGAAAATTATAGGAAAAGTATGGCGGGTTCTTTATTTCGGCACCAATATATGAAAAATTAAAATTAATTTAGAGTACAGTACGGTACTAAAACTTTAAAAATGACTTACATAATGTTTTCCTTTGATACCAGCAATAGCTTCAATGCCTGCTAGTAAGTCATCTTGTGCCTAAAAATAGTTTTTTTGATAAAATTTTTAATATTGATATTACAATAGCCTCAAAAGTTAAATTTAAAGCTGACTTTTAATCTAAAGCCAACTAACATAGCTTTTCAGAAAGCTTAAGCCTTAAAATATAAACTTACATTAGTAAAGATAAAGCTAGTGATAGTACTTTGACTGCTCTCTAAAGTCTTTACTCTTAAAAACTTGACCAACGGCTTAATCGTGGTTCCTTGGATAAACACAGTAAAGCATATAACAACGACAGTAGTTGATACCAGCATATCTTTAGCTGGTACAGCATCTTTATCCAATGTCATGGCCAAGCCGTAAGCAATGGCACCGCGTAAACCTCCATAAGATATGATAAACTGATCTAAGAAGCCTATCTTCTCCATTCTTTGCTTGTTGCATATATAGCTTAGAATGTATACGCCTGTAACAAAAATCCTTAATATCAGTAACGAAAACCAAACATACCAATAAACCGACAAACCAGACAACTAACAACCGTGACCAGTGCAAACACAATGTCCCAACTGTGATTCCTGGAGAACGATGACAATCCCAAGAAGATGAAGATCATGGCTTCAGAATGAGAAGCGATTGTCTTCAAGAAATACTTCACAGTAATTCGACTTTCATCTGACATATTTGTCTCAACATACGGTTTCATTAATAAGCCACAGAACACTATGGCCAATATACCTGAATAATGGAACATTTCGGCCAAGAGATAGGCCAAATAAGGAAAGAGAAGGCAGATCAACGGCTGCACAACACTCAACGTTCCTGCCAATTTAGTTGTTAGTCCAGTGACAATGGCTGTCAAAGTACCAAAAAGCACTCCACCTAATGCTACTAGGATAAATGAGGCTATTACTCTGATCACATCAGAAGCCACTAAACTTTCAGCTCCAATAACAGCCATGTCACTTAGAGCATGATAGAGTACGATGGTTACTGCGTCATTCAGAATACTTTCTCCAAATACGCAAATGTAGAGTAACTCATTGACTTTAACTTCTGTAAACACGCTGAGCACGGCTACTGGATCAACAGCACTAATTAGTGTTGAGAAAATCATCAAGTCGAGGAAGGAAATGTTTACAGTGTAGAAAGAAGAAAATACGTAAAGGATGCATCCTAAAATTGTAAGTTGAACATTCAAAAAGGCAATGAACATAAATTTCGACAGTCATTTTTAGAGTTAGGAAGCTAGAAGACTAGGGGACTAGAGGACTAGAGAAATAGGGGACAGAGGGCTAGGGGACTAAGACCAATATAGGGCTAAGGCTCTAGACTAGGGCTCTGAGCTAGAGCTAGGGCTAGAGCTCGATGTTAAAACAAAAAAAATTCTAAATTTAAACGTACCAATAGAAGTAATGTTCCACAATGTTCCAATGACAGCATAAGTCAAGATAGTGAATATATTTCTAACAAACGCTTCATTTGGCATAAAATATCCGGCTTCCAAAGCAATCGGTGGTAGCAAGTACAGAAAGAAGAGGTCTGGATCCAAGTAGATGTCATGTGGCAAAAACCAATCTAATATTGTACCAACGGAGAAGCCACAAACGATTAATAAAGCAGAGTCTGGGAAGACTATCGCTAGCTTTTCAGAAGCGTGGAAAACTGAAAAAAAAATTATGATATTTGAAAAATGCAAGAAAAATGTCAAATTTAATTAAATTTCAAAAAATTTTTTTTTTCTATTTTAAAAAAATAAGACAAAAAACATTTTTTCTAACAGAGTGATCAAATCTAACATCTTTTTAAAGAAATAAAAAAAAAGATCTCCCGGCCTTCTTCTCCACCTCTCCTACTCCCTTCCTGAGAGGGGTAAGAAACGGACCGGACCTAGTTTTAAAGCCTGGCCCTAACCTAAAGAATAAAGTTCAGACCTAGCTCGTTATTATCTTTTTCAGCCCGGACGGACCTAGACAAAAAAATCCAAGTTTTTAGATTTTTTAGATCATTTATTGATTGCGGTACTAAAAAAATCCAAAAATATGAACTAAAACCAAAACAAATTTTTAAATTTAAAAAAAAATTGAGTTTGGCCTACTTTTCAAGCCTAGCCTGCGGGTTAAGCCCAACCTTTAGGCCCAGCCCGCTAACCGGACCTAATTTTTAGGCAAATTTAGCACAAGGCCGGGCTTACACAGCCCGTTTTTTACCTCTACCCCTCTCCTTTTCTAGAACCCACGCCTTGCCTAACACAAAAAGTTTAAATTTTTTGACCCAGTCTATCTAAGAAACAATATCCAACTTTAGTCTAACAAAAAATAAAAGCAAAACCAAATAAATAATTTGCTTTTCCATCAAGTTTTTACTTTTTACATTGACAGTAAATCTCTAAAACCTAAAACTATTAGTCATAACGTGACATCACTCACCGATCTTCACGACGACAATAAACACCACCCAAAACGATACGAGCAGCGGTGTGCGTACGTCGTGCCATTCCAGGGTAATCATGATCTTATTATTTTTGGGTTTTAATCAGGTTTCAATTGCGCCCCTTTTTCCCCATCCGACCTTCAAAACTCCATTAGCGGTTCATCATCTAATTCGGCTGTTTTCCTTAACAGTGCTTCGGTACAAGAGACAAACAGTGTTAAGACGTTTGTGAAAGAAAAAAACAAGCAAACAGTTTAGAAATTTTTAAAACTTAACTGTATAAAACGGTAACTCAAAAGAAATGAATTTTTATACGTTATTCCAGACTCACAAAAAAATGGAAAAACCTGGACTGGCTTAAAAATTAAAATCAAAAAATGTAAATTTTTAAAGAACTACTAAAACCAATTTTCTACTCTTGCTCTATCCTAGATAAACGTGACAAACGGACCGAGCCGGGCCTAAATGTTAGGCCTGCCCCGGTTCGCTGACAGGCCCGGCCCGTTTCTCATGTCTAATCCTAGACCTGCTTTTGTCTTATCATTCTATCTCTGCTTATCCATAGCTTACCTTTGCTCTACCCTTGCTTTACCATTTCTTTACCTTTATCTTACCTCTACCGTTGACTTATTTTTGCTGTACTTTTTTATTTTTACATTACTCTTGTCTTACTTTAGCCTACTTTTATATTAGCTTTGGCCACCCTTACTTTACCTTAGCACTACTTTTGCGCTAACTTTGATCTATCGTTAAACTACCTTTGAATTACTGTCGATTCATTTCTACATAACTTTTTTTCTAATTTATCTTTAGCTTACCTTTGGCTAACTTTTGCTTTATCTTTGTTTTATATTTTTATTAATGTTCCTCCGGTTTTTTTTACATTTTTGCTACAACACAGCCCTTTCACAGCCTAACTTGATTTTTACAGTAATTTAGCTTACGTGTTTAGTCTTGCTCAATATAATGTTTAAAAATTAATCATACTTTTGTTATATACTTTTCAATTTTTTTGAAATATATGGTACATTGCTATCTAACAAATTTTTTTAAAATTTTTTTTTAATTTAAAAAAAACAGAATTTGATACTTTATTTGTTTTCTTACCACAAACATAACTAAAACAATAATTTTATTTGTTGATGTTTCAGCTGATTAATTGTAACTTTAAAAAACAAGCAAGCAATTAATTTAAACTTGTTGAAACGGTTGAAACGAATTGATAAGCCAATACTCCGCCGTTTCTTTTAATGTTTTAAAGTACAAAAAGCATGGTTATGATTTCAGAACAAAGTCACGCTTTTTCACATCTAATAATGTCTTTTTATACCAAAGGCACTGTTAAAAATGTCATTTTTATTGCTAAATATGGTATTTTTTAAAACTTGTGACATTGTTTTTTGTGCTTACAAAGGATCAGGACTAAGGCTTGTTCGACTTCTATACTTAATACTAAAACTAGGACTATAGTTAGAGTTAGGATTAGCTTAAAAACACTGCAACCCTTGTATCATAAATTTATTTACAGCAGAACTTTTGTATAGCAACATGTAAATTCTCTCCTAACACTACATAATGCATTTAAAACTCTTGTTTACCGAAAGTTCTTCATGTTAGCTTTTTTAGTTAGCCATAATATAAGCGTTCATTATTTTACACTTGGATGAATATAGATACGTTCATTTGTATCCGATCAAAAAATACAATACGGCTTTAAAGGTAATAAATGGCGTTGATAACGCGGGTCAATAGGTTGGTTTAGCACTCACATATGCCGCGACATTAGATGAACCGATTATGAGTTGGGGTTGTTGTAAGTGCATTTTGGGTTTACGGAGATATGGCTAGGTTTGAATTGGGCATTTTAAGTGAAAAGCTAAAATTTTGAAGCCTTTTACTATGTTTTTTTGTTTGTCTTCTGGGTTGCTATATAATATAACTATGTCAATTTATACCACAGTAAAACTTTCATATTTTTCTTACAATTCCATTACGAATCCGTACCAAAAACCAGGTTAAAAATCAATCTTATGACAGCGTAAATAACTCAATATTTTAACAAACTTTACTACAAACCGCCTCGTCACATTGGAAAAGGCACAAAGTCCACTGTCCATTAATAGACGGTTGTTATTGATGGAGCGTCGCAACATTTTTTATATTTTATTGCACTTTTAATCGAAACGCACTCTCTCGTGCTTATTATAAAGTCCATGTGGCGATTTCACTGATTATTTTCTTCGAACTGGTTCCTCAGGTTTTTCGAATTTTAAAGCGAATTTTTGATTTTTGAACGATTTCTTTGGATTTTGTTGTAGGTAGTGGCGGACAATCTTGGTCTAAAACATGAAAGAAGAGAGGATTAGGCCTGTAAGAGAGCTAGGCTAAAACTGTCAATCGGGCTGGGTTTGGAAAAAGTTTAGTCTAGTCATGCCTAGCGGCCCCTCTTCTTCTCCTTTAGGGGGCCGTACAAGAGGGAAAAAGTAAAATTTTAAAAAAATAGAAAAAATGAATAAATTATACCCACAAACATACTTTAATGTATCTTAATTTACTCTATAATATCTTACATGAAATACCTTAATTGAAATTACCCTACCATACCTTACTTGAAATTACCCTACCCTACCATGCCTTACTTAATCTTTTTTTTTGAAAAAACAAGGGAGTTCTACCCTACCCTACTGTACCATACTCTACATTACCTTATCTTACCATACCTTACCCTACCTTGCTTTACCTTGCCTCACTTTACCTTTCCTGATCTTAACTTATTTTACCCTGCTCTAGTCTACCCAACCCTTCTCAACTCTACCGTACCCTACTCTACCCTTCTGTTGAAAGTTTTTCCAAAAGAGTCTTGGCGATGGGAAGCTTCAAAAAACCTGAACTTTCAGATCAAAGGTTTCCAACTACCAAGATTAAGCTTATACATAGTATACTAGCTTCTAGCGTAAACAACATACGAAAAATACAGCTGTTAGTTCCGGATTTTTTTATATGGAAGGGCATTCAGATCGTCTTCCAATTGCATTGTTTTGGGTTCGAATGCACTTTGATCATTTGTTGATTTTTTAAGTTTTTGTTACGAATTGATCAAGCTTCTAAATAGGGTGGTCTTCATTTGTTATTTTTTTAAAGTTTGTAAACATTTGTTTTTGGTGCGACTTTTTATTTTTTAATTTGTTTTTCTGAGAAAAAAAAATTATTTGAAATTGAAAAAAGGTACATATTAGGTCTACAAATATAAACTTTTTTTTCTTTCTCGGCTAAAAATTTTAATAATATGAGAAGTAGTAAGACGGTCCTGTCGATTTTTAAGGCCAAGAAAGAGTGAAAACAATGTTTCAAAAACATATTGTGAGGAGGACGAAGGGGTGATTATTTTATTCTAGGTCTGACTGAGGAAGTGATGAACAAAAAAATTTTAATGTCAAACTTTTCATTACAGTAACATCTCTTTTATCGCTTCTACGACATAATATGACAATCAGATGACGATTAACGCATGGCGCATTTCTTAATATTTGCATATTTGTTTTTCGTACGTTTTCAGTGCACAACGCGTATATTATTAATTGACCTATGTCTTTACGAAACATAGGTCTTACGAAGCCACAAACTATAATAAGACGGTTATATGCATGTTTATGAGTGGCGTGGGTAGGATTTTTGGTGGGGAATTTTTGAACCCTATTTTCTTTTATTTTTGGGTTTTTTGTAACAATTTTTAAAATTTTTAATAAAAAATAACTTGATTTTTTGTTTTTATACTAAGAACATGCTTTTTTTGATGAGGTATGTTAAAGTTGTAAAATTTTGGTTTTTGTGTTATAAGTTACAGCTTTTACTTAAAGTTTAAATAGTTTTTTATCCCTTTTTAAAGAAAAAAAATATTTTTTTTCCTTTTATATGCCATTTTATAATATAAAATATATATTTCTCCCAAACCACATCAAAAACCGTCGTCAAAACCAAGTCATTGCTATTTCAGACGATCTTTATGACTTCAGAAGGGAATTGCCACCTCTTCTTCGCGTCGGCATACGCCCTCGTGACTAGCGGACCCTGCACTTCGTACTTTGTCCGTTTAATATAACAAACACTTGCCCTGCTGTTTTATTTTTCATTTAAAGTTCGGGTGTCTGCTCGACAAAAACCTCGTGTCTTCAAAACACACAAACGTCCCTCCCCCCCCGTAATGTGTCATTAGTTCCCCCCGTGTATTGAGTCCCCGTAAGGGGCATTATCAAGACATTAAGGTACTTGAACTTCACAATCTTTGGAAGATTTTTAAAGGTTTACCCTGTCCTACTCTACCCTGCCCTACCCTACCCTACCCTACCCTACCCTACCCTACCCTACCCTACCCTACCCTACCCTACCCTACCCTACCCTACCCTACCCTACCCTACCCTACCCTACTCTACCCTACCCTACTCTGCACTACCCTACTATAGTTTGCTTTCTATCTTCTATCGTATTATAAAACCAGTCTTGTTTTTGATTCTCCCCCCCCCTTTTTCCGTCCTCTAACTTAACAGCTACATTTTTATAGAATTTACCCTGCTCTAAAAAGCTTGCTCTTATGTTCATGCCTACGTTCTATCAGATTTTTTTCGGTTGTCTTTCTTTGATTTTCATATATTAGATTGTTTAAATAATTCAGGGCCTTCTATCAAAACAAATGTTAGGGATTTTGGGCTCAGAATTATTTGAACAATCTAATATTTTTATATTTACTTCACTCTCCCCAAGCTTTTCCTCTCCCTTTCCATCTAAACCTTAAGCTTTATCCCAAGCTCAGTTCCTTTTTTACTCCCCCACCCCACCCCCCCGCTCCCCTCTTCCTTCCGCAAATTACCCCCTCATCATCTTCCCCCTCCCACCTTTGCCGATCCGACGAACCGTTTGACACGTACTGGTCAGCCGAGTCAGCTAGCTGCCGCGTGGTCATTCCTGTCTCGCTCTTTTCTTTTCGTCGCTCCCTTCGCTGGGTGTACTTTGACCCCAACGTACGTAAACACGAGGAGAAGCGTCTCTCTCTATCTCTCTGTCTTCCCGAAGAAGCCGCCCTTAGGGGGTAAACAGTAGTTTGCGGAAGAACGGCAAGGCATGACCTACATGTTTATTTAAGTTACGGTCTTAATTGGATTCGAGTAGCTGCATTGTTTTTACTTTGGCGGTATGAACGGATTTTTTTTGGTTTTGAAAGGATTTTTAGGTAACAAAAAAATTTTTAATGTTTTTTGATAGAAAAATGTTTTTAAAAAATAGACATTAAGCTAATTTAACGATTTTTTGGCATATTAGTACTAGTGGTACTGATCTTTCTTTTTTCTAACGCTTCGAAAATTTGGCGGGAAATTCAAGATTTGAAAATTTAACCTTTGGCATTATAACTTAATAATAAGTTTTTACATCTGATATAGTGACCAATAGTAACTGTTTTACTAAATAACACTTAATTTTGGTCTGCCAAACCTTTCGGAATTATTTTTTTAAAGTTTATATTGTAGTAGGTTACAACTATCGAAATACAATCTTATGAAGCAGTATGAATATATTTTTCAAAACACAATAACAAACGTCAAAAAACATTCTTCACTTTCATGCATGGTTGCAGCTGTTTATAGTATTGACTTGTTTTTCACGGCCATGCTTGTTTATGGCCATAGCTTTCCAATTTCTACAAAATGTGTCATCAATAATAATTTTTACTTAAATTTTATAAAATACAGTGTAAAACGTTCATTCGTCGTATTTTACCATTCTTACGTTGTATTTTACTTCAAGCGTTATGATATTTTAGGTCAGTAGGATAAGAATAAATGTCTCATTATGACATATTTTTTATTCAAAATTTTTGCGAAATCTTACATAGTAACGTTGAAAACAACACTTGTTTGTACACAATGGCACATGTTTATGTTATTGACTTTATTTTCATGGCCATGCTTGTTTACGGCTTTGGTTTGTAAAATTCTAAAAAATTTGTCAGTTTGACATGACTTTAAACTTATGTTTCGACGAAATTTATTTTAATCTTGTCGATTGCTATTCTGTATATTACTAAAATAAGCTTTTTAAAGTTTTTATTTTCAATATAATGTGTTTCAAATGTCACCGCGATTTATTTTCTGGACATTTTTCTTCGTTTTGCTCGCTTCTTTCGAGTTCATCGTTCACGTTATTCCCTTTTGTAGTGGCTACTTTGCGAATCGTCCTTCTCCCACCACATGGCGGAAGCTCGATCAGTGGCCGCGCTCAGTTTCTCGCTGACCCACGATGGAATTTCCGTGAGCTACGATCAGGAGCTGCTGCGTGACATCTGGCACGCCTTCTCACGTGGCTACAAGAAGCGCTGGGCCCGGTTCAAGGTCGGTTTATTGTTTTTTGATGTTTTTACGATTTTTAGATAGGTATCAGAAAGCGATTGAGTTTAATTTGTTGTTGTTTTGGAGAAAACAATATTTTGAGGACTGAAATTGAAAAATTTAGATGTTTTTAAACTAAAATAAAAATTTCGTTTTTTCTAGGACAAATTTTGTTAATTTTTTTTATAAAACAGATATAAAAAAGAATAAATGATGTTATTTTTAGAATGATTTCTTCGCCGGTATCTTTCCCGCCAATCTACATTCACTTATCTTTGTGTTAGCGTTATCTGGTCTATTGTACTTTTGGGATCATGACATAACGCTGGGAATAACGAATCTATTCCGGAATTATTTCTTCTACTACATTTTTGGGTATGTTTTCTTTATTTTCAATTGAATTTTAGGTAATATTGATGTTAATATAAATGTTTTAGTGACGGTCTGATATCAACGTCGTTAGCGGTCGCCCTTGGGGGTGGATTATTATGGTTTGCCTTGGTTCAATTGTTCAGACTGTCTATCAAATGGCTTTTGAGTTACAAAGGATGGATGTACGAAAGTCCTCATGCTGGTTCGATTTCAAAAACCACAAAGATTTGGTTTGTAAGTTGAAATTTTTGTTGTGTTTGTGAATTTTAGGTGCTTTAACAAAAAGAAAAAAAGAAATGTCTTAAATTTGGATGTACAAAAAGCCAATTTTTGCTAAACGTTTTAATTTTTAGTCGATTCTCCACCTGATTTCCAAGTTCGGCCCAACTTTGCATTCCTTCCAAGGAGCTCTTCCTCATCTCCCTCTACCCTCTCTCGATGATACTCTGAAGCGCCATTTGAGATCAGTACGTCCACTAATGGATGATGATGAGTATAATGAAATGGTTGATCTTACTGAGAAGTTCAAGAAGGGTATTGGCAGAAGACTTCAACGATATCTTGTCCTCAAATCGTTCATGTCAACAAACTATGTCACTGACTGGTGGGAAGAGTTCGTATACCTAAGACAACGATCTCCAATCATGGTTAACAGCAACTACTACGGATTTGACACGCTGAATGATAATCCAACTCATAATCAGGCTGCTAGAGCTGCTAATGTCACTTGGGGAGCGCTGTTATTTAGGAGGTTGATTGAGAGACAAGAAGTTTCGCCGGTGAGTTGAAGGTTTAGTGTTTAGTTATTTTATATAGGATTGTTTTTGGCATTTTAAGTTTTTTTTTCAGATTTTGGTTATTAAAAGATGATTCTTAACGTTTTATGAGTTAATTTTTTCAAGCTTTGGGTAATAATAATTTATATTAAAGGTTTAAAATATCTAAAAGCAGGTTTTGTTACCTAAAATTTAATTCTTATTAAGTTTGCCATGCTTTACAATGCTAGCATTGCGAAAAATTGACATATTATCTAAAATCACATTTTTCAGTTTGCCATTTCCCCAAGAACCAAAGTACCATTCTGTACTATGCAGTACGAACGTCTCTTCAATTCATGTCGTGTACCAGGTGAAGAGACCGATAAACTGCGCCGATGGGATGATGCCAGACATATTGCAGTCCATTGCCGTGGCTGTTGGTTTAAGCTGCCGATTCACAACGGAAAACGCCTTCTGGAGCCACCAGAGCTTCAACTCGCCTTTCAAGAGATTCTGGACAGTGAACTGAAACCGGCCGCTGGCGAAGAACAATTGGCCGCTTTAACAGCGGGCGAGCGAACCCACTGGGCATTAACTCGTCAAAAGCACTTTAGAAACGGCGTCAACAAGACCTCGCTTCAAGCCATCGAACGATCAGCGTTTGTTGTTGTACTGGACGACGAATCTGTCACTTATGATCCGCAAGATCGCACCAAGCTTGATCACTGGGCCGAAAGTCTCCTTCATGGTAAAGCTCACGATAGGTGGTTCGACAAAGCTTTCAATCTGATCGTATACAAGAACGGCAGAGTAGGTATCAACGCCGAACACTCGTGGGGAGATGCGGCCGTGATTGCCCACTTCATGGAATACGTGCTACTGAAGGATTACTGTGTCAGAGGCTACGATGAGAAAGGAAACTGTACCGGCGAAGTCGAAACTGTCTGTCATCCAGAACGACTGAAGTGGAACATTGAAAGCGAAGTCGAGGACAAGATTGCCGTATCAATGGAAGTTGCCCAGAAGCTGATTGACGATGTTGAAATGGCATTGTTGGTATGGACTGAATACGGAAAGGGATTCATCAAGAAGTTGAAGATTTCACCAGATGCTTTCATTCAAGCTACTCTTCAATTGACTTACTATAGAGTGGGTTTTTTAAAATTTTGAAAAAAAAATATTTTTGAAATTAAAAAAAACCAATATTTTTTCAAAAATACTTTTTAAATTAAAAAATTTGAATTTTGAGACTTTTAACTGATTTTAACCAATTTTCGATCTTTTTTAGAACCAACAACGATTTGCCCTGACCTACGAAGCCTCGATGACCCGATTGTACCGTGAAGGCCGTACGGAAACCGTACGATCTTGTAGCATTGAATCCTGCGACTTTGTCCAAGCTATGTTGAATCCAGACAGAACCCCTCAGGAACGTCTTGAATTACTCCGAAAATCGGCCGAAAGACATCAACAACTATATCGTGACGCCATGTGCGGCCAAGGAATCGACCGTCACCTCTTCGCCTTGTATGTTGTCCTTCGATACCTGGAAGAGGAATCCCCCTTCATGAACAAAATCATGCCTCCAACCTACTCCCTCTCTACCTCACAGACCCCAATGTCACAATGCGAAGAGGAGGCGCAGAAGGAAAGGTTGAGTCAAGAGAAACGACAAATGTTGATCACAGCCGGCGGTGGCTTCGGGCCGGTAGCCGACAAGGGCTACGGTGTCAGCTACATCATTGCCGGCGAAAACCAAATCTCTTTCCATATATCGTCCAAGCGGTCTGCTGAAAATACGGTAGGCTTTCGATACTTTAGAGGGTGGTACAGTTATACAAGACGTAAAACGAGGAAAACTTTTTTTACAAAGCAAACACTGGCAAGAACGTTCTTTAAAGAACAAAAATGGCAAGAACTTTCTTTAAAAAACAAAAAATGGCAAGAACTTTCTTTAAAGGACAAAAATGGCAAGAAATTTCTTTAAAAAAACAAAAAATGGCAAGAACTTTCTTTACAAAACAAAAAATGGCAAGAACTTCCTTTACAGAGAAAAAAATGGCAAACACTTTCTTTACAAAGCAAAAAATGACAATAACTTTCTTTACAAAAGATAAAGTGACAAAAACTTTTATAATTTTAATTTTTTTTCAATTTCAGAGTTCCGCTGGATTCCGTGAAGATCTCGAACAAAGTTTGCGAGACATGCATGCTCTCTTTGTTAAATTGTAACTAATATAAATATTTTTTATCAAACCTCCCCCACCCCCCATGTATGTTAATAACGGGCATTGTGAAGAGCGTTCGAAGCGTTGTTCTTTATATTACACATGAATTTAGTTATCTTATTATTTGCAATAAATTTTGTTTACATTGGATTTTGGCATTTTGCACGTATTTAAGGGAAGTGTCAGGTTTTCGGCCGGAAATATTCGTAAAAAAGTTGGGCGGGTGATAATATAGTATATTGGGTTTAGGGGGTGTTTTTGAGAAAAAAGTTAGGCAGGGTGATAATTAGTTTTTTTTTTGAAGCTAGGGGGGTGAAAAAAAAGTTGGCGGGATGAGGAGCTTGTAGCAAGCGTGGGAAACTCTTTGGTAAAAGAATTGCCAATGATTGTAGACAACATGAAATTAAAGTTATTTACGTCGCTTCAGCCAGAAAGAACCGTTTTTCAATTCCCAAGGTTATAACTCGCTAGGTGCCCGATTAAACATGTTTTTTGACCCAAAAGAAGAGGGATTGATATACGTACCACAATGTAATCAAGCTAAACCTCGACTTACAGATGTATCTCACCAGGCGTTTGTTCAGAGATCTCACTTTAATTCATAAGATCGACAAATGGCCAAAACTGTTGTTAGAGGAGGTGAAGAAGCATTGTATTGTAAAAGAAGACTTTATAAGTGAAGCGGAAGAGAATGAACTGTTAAAGGAAATAGAGCCCCATATGAAACGACTAAAATACGAAAAGGACCATTGGGATGACGTGAGTTAGATTTTTGTTTGGATTTTAGGTTGAAAATATTGTTTAGGCCAAAAACTTAAAAATTAACCCTTTCCAGGCAATTTACCTCTTCCGAGAACGTGAATCAAAAAGATGGAACGATCAAAACACGAAAGTAATACAACGAATTCAAGAGTTCTCTTTACCTAAAGATGCAATCAAATTATCCTACATTCATATCCTCGACTTGGCCAAAGATGGACATATCAAACCACACATCGACTCGGTAAGGTATTGTGGTACGACAATCAGCGGCGTGTCATTGTTATCACCATGTGTAATGAGGCTTAAACATAAAGACGACAAAGAGCTGATGTTGGACATGTATTTACCGAGGAGGAGCTTGTATAAGTTGAGGTAGGTGGGGTGGAGTGAAAATTTTAGATGTGTTTTGTAAAGAAAGTTCTTGCCATTTCATGTTCTGTAAAGCAAGTTTTTGCCATTTTATGTCTTTTAAAGCAATTTCTTGCCGTTTCCTCTTCTTTAAAACCACTTTTAACCATTAGTTTGTTATGTAAGATGAATAACATTGTTACTAAGCCTACAAAATCTAAAATATATTGTTTTCAGTATGGTGTTAAGATACGACTTTACGCACGAGGTATTGTCATCAGAAGAAAGTCAATTCAACGGGGAAATGATTGTCAGAGATCGACGAATATCAGTGATTTGTCGTGATGTTCCGTCGAAACAAGACATCAAACCACTCGAATTTCAATCACTTTAGGCTTTACATTATTTATTGATATAATAAAACATATTTAGGTTTTTTTAGCTTTACAACCCATTTTTAAAATTAAGTAAAAGACCAAAATGTCGTTTTTCAATTAAATTTTACAGAAAAATACTATTTTTCAAAGTAAAAACAAATTTTTTCTCATTTTTTAATTAAAAAAAGGTCAATAAGCCTAAAATAACGGGAAAATTAAACAGTTTTATTTAGGCCAGATTTACATTAGTATATACATCATGTACTTAAATTACTCTCTCCTCAAGTTTTCCAATCGAGACTGTAAATCAGCATCGATATCGCTCATTGCCGCAGCCTGAGGCTGTTTTTGGTTGACTTTCTGGCCCAAGGCCGCATCGGCCGATGGGAGGCTAGCCAGCTCTTCTCCCATCTGGATTCCCAGCTCGTCCAATACCTAAAATATTGAGTCTAAGTATCAAAATAATATATTATTTCAATGTGTAAAAAGTTTGTAAAGAAAAATTTTGTCATTTTGAACTATGTAAAGAAAGTTTTTGCCATTTTATGTATTGTAAAAACAGTTGTTATAATTTTTTATCTTTTTTTAACAAAGACTACATTGTATTCCCCTTGTTATCATAATCCACTTCATGTTTCATAAAGATAATCACTTAAAAACAAAATATGACTCACCTGTTGCACTACAGCCTCTGTTTCTCCTTCTTCACCCACTTCACCCAACGCGTCATCAATGGCGTCATCCATCATCTCCTCCTTCATGTCCATGATCTCTGATTGCCTTTCAAAGTCCTGCATAATTTTGGATATTTGAGGTAGATTCAATTGTCTGTTCATACTTCCCATGGCACGAGTTACTCCTTTCATGGCCTGAAAATGACAAAACTAGATTGTGAATTACAACAAAATAACTCTTATAATTCGAAGCAATAAATTTAAAAAATCACACGAAGTCTCTTATCCTTATTTTTGGAAAAAGTTGCAATAAAAAGAAGATTTTCATTATCTACCCACAATATAATCTATAATACCACAATATAACCTATAAAATATAATCTATATATACCACAATATAACCTATAAAAAAGCTTCTCTTTTCTTAAACCAATATTGCAAATCAGTAAGACAAACACTATTTACATTCAAAATTACAAAAAAAATCATTATAGATTAAGGGAACAAAGTATATAACCTTTAAACCAAAGTTAATGTATACTTCAACATACCTGAGCCATAGCATCCTGACTTTTAAGCGTTTGAACCTTCAAGGACACTGCTTGGATATTGGCCTTCATCATCATAAACTTCTTCACGTATTGACGAGTTCGAACCAAATCCTTTGCCATAACTCGGACCGAATCCTAAACCAATAAAACTATAACAAATCTCAACGTACCATTTGCCCCATCTTGGCCATTTTCTTTATATCCGCAATGATCTTCTTCTCCTGCATCTCCAGTCGATTTCTCTCACGATCCAACTCTCTCATGGCTTTGTTCAAAGCTCGTTGATTCTGTTTGAGCATCTCCTGTGGAGTTTTTCGTTTCCCAAAAAGCCATTCCATCCTGATAAGTTGAGATTAGAGATAAAATTAAGTTGAAATTCAAGATAAAAGTTAAGTTTAACAAAATAATAGACTAGACAAGTTACTCAACAACAAAATGAATCACTAAAACTTGTTTGTGGAAGAAGAAAGAAAAATTTCGTCAAAAAACAACAAGCACTCCCAGTTTAATTTAACTCCGACACGAAGACAATTAATAGCTAAAACGAAAAAATTTCTTGGCATTGTGTTATATTAAAATAATTTTGCAATTTTTGATATTCTTGTAGTTTTTTGTTATTTTTGTTGATTGTTACTTGTTATTCTGTCGTTATGGGTAATCAAAAGAAGCCTAAACAAGCTGGAAATGTTATTCAGTCAAAGACTTTCACTAAAAAGAAGATTAAAGTTGGCAAAACATTGAAGAAGACTAATGTTACCGACACTACCTTTACAACAAAGTCTGTGGTGATTCTAAAACAATTTGCTGACAACACTGCTGAGCCGGTTTCACATCGTGGATTGACATTGAAGGATTTGAACACACAGATTGGGCATTCTGGCTTTAATTTCAGGAAAGATGCTGTTTTAGGTATGCTTCTGTTCTGTTTTGTATTCTTTATGTTTAGGTATGAAACAATTGTTGACTGATCATCCAGAAATGGTGGAGGCAAACTTGTTTGACATTATTTCTTCTGTTGGACGGCTGTTGATTGATGAAGTAAGTTTACTTTATGTTTTTTGAAGCTATGTTAATATAAATGGCTATTTCTGGATAGCTAGGGGCTTTAATTTTCTGGGTTTGTAGGTTATTGTTCATCTCAAATTACCTACAAGAAAGCCTTTGGAAATTGATTGGGAGTTTGAACTTACAGTTATTCTACAGTACTCATTTATGCTAAAATTTTTGTATAATTTTTGGCCATTTTATTTAAAATGTTGTGTAAAATACGCCGTCCATTCCTATTAAAAATACATTAACTTTTAGAATTTTGCATCAACAAACTCAGCCGCAGGCAATCTTCGCGCTTTGTTCAAGCTATTGTTCTCTATACCAGAAAAGTCGATTGCCACATCGTTTCACATCCTCAAATCTCATCTACGAATATCTTTAACACATATGAAGTTGTCAGTCAGAACGTATGGTCTATCGATATTGACAATGGTATTTGAAGCGTATCCACGATTATGTAGAAGATCGTTGGATTTGAAGGAGAACTTTTTGGTTTTAATGCAAAGTCAGAAACGACCTACGGATCCGAAGTTGTTGGCTATATCAATATCATTGTTTAAGAATGTGTATGAAACGCCGGAGGAGAAGAAAAGTGCTATAGCGACAGAAGAATACGACCTGAATATAAGTGAAGGGAAACTGGTGAAGAAATCGACTGGTCAAGCGTTTGATAGGCATAGATTTACGGTATTTTCAGTGGAGCAAGACGTGGAGGGAGATGGATTGGATAGCTCTTTCTTGGATAAAATTTTACAATAAATTGTTATAGTTATGGAGTTGTGGTATAGTTATGGAGTGGCTAATTTACTCGATTTGTCACCTATTTTTTGAAAATAACGATTAGGAAAAACTTTAAAGATAAAATAGCTTACTTTTTGAAAATTACATGCAAAATACGGTTTATAATTGAAATCCTACAGGTTTTTAAATAACTTATTTATTTACATCGACTATGTACATGAGTATCAAAATTCAGCTTTCTAATCAGATTTACAGCTATTTTTTTGAAATTTCAAAAAGATTTTGAAATATTTTCAAAAAGTTGTCATAGATCTAATTAGAAGCACAAAAAGACTTTAGGTACCCCATTGTGCATTTGTTAGTACAACATTCGCTGGCTAGTCCACCTGTGCGTCGTTTTGGTCTTTGTAGCGCATCTGAATTGGGCTTTTTAGTCTATGTATTAACATATTGTATTCGAGTTGGTGTTAGGTATTTTTTTGTTGGCTTTTTATATCATATAAGGGTAGTAATGGCCATTATATTATGCTTGGTATTAGCCACCTGGTTAAGCCTATGCATTCTATTAGACCTTATATTAGGCATACACAAGGCATGACATTCAAAATTATTCTAGTTATTATATTACCTATTGTACGGGAAGGTATATTAGGCTTTGTATGGGACATTGTGTTAGACACAGTAATTAGCTGTTGCACAAAGGTCAAACCATAAATTATATTGCGCAACCGCGGCCTTTTTTAAACGGTTAATTTGGGTCGCGGCTAATTTGTAAAAGTATCAACCGGTGCAACGCGTACTTTTAGAACATCTTCATCGCATTTGACGCGAATTTTGTTGACTCGTTTGTAATTGACAAGTAAATGAAAGTTTGCAAAAAGTTTAAAATAATTAAACGTTTTAAAAAATAGGAGTAATAGATTTTCGTTAAGTAAAAATATTGCGATTATTTATAGTAAGTCACAGTGTTTTGCCGGACCGGTCCGGACCGGACCCAAAATCCTGCGGACCCGGACCGAAGAAAAAGCTCCGGTCCGGAAATTTTTTTTTTATTTTATTAAAACTGCTTTAAAAATTGCAAAGAAAACATATTTTTAAGTGTTTTTAAACGTAGAAAAAGCAATTTTAGCGCTCTTTGCTTTTTTTAAAAATAAAAAAAAATTTTTTTGCGGACCGGACCCAAAAATTTTGGGTTTGGACCGGACCGGACCCAAAAATTTGAAGTTTGGACCGGACCGGACCCGAAAATCGCCGGACCGGACCGATGAAAAACGCTCCGGACTGGTCCGGGCAAAACACTGATAATGACCGCATACTACCCTACCCAACCCTAATGTATCGTTCTTTTATCACACAAGGGACTGGACCAAAAATGCCATTATAAACTGGCTGTCACACTATTCAGGCAGTTTTTGATAGTAAGAGTTTTATTACAAAAGGCGGACAGAAAGCTGACATTATAAAAAGATTATGATACTATCGAAGGTCATACTAAAGGGTTTTCACTGTATTTGAAATGTAAAATACGTTTTCCCAAGTCACACTCTTTTCAAATATAATAAAACTAATTTAAGAACTCTTTATACCTACCTTTCGGCGGTATTATGTACCGATGATTACATATTCTGGCCATCACATTCAACAACAACTTCCCACAATACCTGACCAGATTCCTGTTGTCATCGTCATGTTCGCGGGCAGTGACAAGCGTCGTCAGACTGAGTAATAGGATCACGTTTCTACACCATCTGCGGTACATTACAAAACGAGGTATGTGTGGGAATGTGCTGAATATGCGATCTTATATTCTTGGAGCTGGTTTTGGGACCGCCCTTTCGCTTCGAATGTTTCTATTTGTTCTCGCGGTGCGAATTCGAATATATAATTATGACCGTTTAATTAGAGGATTGTGCAGGGGATTCTGGAGGATTTGAAAAGTCTGTTGGATATTTTTTAAGGGATTTGATAGAGTGCTTGATTTTTAAAAATTTTAATTAAGTTTTATTTTTATCTCGGAAAAATACTTGGCGTTCTTAGACGAAGAAAATTAACCGATGACAAAATTATACTTCTTATAACAAAGTCGATTATAACGGTCTATAACAAGGTTCTACTGTGGTAAAAACCATTTTTAGATCTTGGGATTAAACCAGCATCAAAAAAGTTAAAAAATTTCGATCTTTTTATTATAGTACTGCTTACCTTCGGGACCGGCTTTGCTGGGCCACCAGAACACACAGCGTTTAGCTCTCCTTATGGCGCTTTCTTTCAGAGTGTTGCATAATAAGAAACCACATAGGACAAACTTTATATTATTGTAGCTTTTTAGTATATGAAATTGAGCAGCTAAAAATTTTAATTTCTACATAACTTTTCACGCCCTTTCAAATGATATAGGTCTCAGCTCTAGGTCCGATACCCCCTATTTGCCTTTCCCTTGTAAATTTTTTCAATTATCAAGCCCTTTTGACGATCAAAACTTTTGGGCTTCAAGTCTTTTTAAGGTCTAAACTTTAGGACTTTCCCATATTATTGTAGTCCGTCATGTTTCGGACTGTTTTGGAGTGTTGCGCGGAACAAAACTCCCCCTCCCCCTTCGGGGCTGGTGATTTTTTTGGCCTCGAGGCATTCACTTTCTCGAAACCGCCGAGTGCGCTGAATCGAAACTCAAATAAACAAAGTGCACTGCACTATTACTATTGAGTAAATACGATCGGCTAGTTGCATATTATATTTTGGACCAGACAACACAAACATCAATACTGTAAAGTGGTTTATTTTGGCGGTATTAGCCATGTTGTTTGTTGGATTAGGAAGGGGGGGGGGAGGGGTATGGTAAGGTCTGGGGGGATTTGTGGGTTGGGCGTGGTTCTTTATTGATTTTTAAAGCATGGAATAAGATTTTTTTTGCACAGCGAAGACAAAAATCATCAACATTTTTATCCAGGGCGTGATAAGGTATGAGGGTCGTAGTTTTTATTTGGGGGGGGGGGGGGGGGGGGGGGTGAGATTTAGGCATGAGTTTCAGCTTAAGAGTTAAAAATGAAGCCAAGAACCAAAAATATTTTTTAAAAATGAAAATTTATATCAAATTAGTTCAATGACAAGCCAAAATTATCGACCATTCCATTACTTGACCTCGTTGAGTTTCTTGCTTTTCCTCACCGTTTCTGGCGTAGCAGCACGAAGCGATCCATTCGGAGATTTGGCCACAACCTTGCCTTCGGCCGCGGCTTCAGCTTTTTCGCGATGAAGCGGATCCCAGAGGCCAGTTTGATACAGTAGTTTGAGACTTTTGTACGCGGCTTGAATGGCAATGTGGGACGCGTTGGGGTATTGGTACAGAAGGCAGAGAAACTTGTAAAAAATGCGAAGAGCTTGCCATAATGTGTGGATTCCGTTCACAAAGGCTGTATGAATGTCGGTCACGTTTTCGGCCGCTGTGGCTGTTCGTGGATCACGGGCTAGGCGCTGAAAATGAAAATTTTTAATTTTACTAAAAATTAAATTTGAAAAATCAAAAAATCCTAAATTACTATAAAAAAAGTTGAAAAAGTGTATTTCTTTATATCAACTTTGAAATAAAAAATGATAAGAGACCGCAGGATGCAATTAGGTTTTTTTTTGCACAGTGCAAAAAATTTAAACCAGCCATAACTTAACAAAATATAAAAATTTTTTAAAATTCTTTTTGCGCCATTATTTAATGAACTTTTCAATATACACTTTACCTAAATTTCATATTTTTGACAGTCATTCGAAAGTTAATTTAAATTTTCAAAAATTGACGCAATTAATTTCATTGCACGATGCAAAAATTAAATATGAAAAAGAAATAAAAAAAAAAACAATTTTTAAAACTGTAAAACTTAAATGTTAATAAATATATAATAATACCACACAAAGATCTAAAAAATATTGGCAACATTTATCAATATAAAATCTTGTTTGCGAGAACAAAAAAAGGTGTAATCTATTCACCTGTTATGTTATGAACGAGGCGGCTTTGGCAAACAATCTTATGGGTTTTGGGTTAGAATTCAAATATCATAAGGAAGGTAAGGACATTGAGCATATTGCCAACTACAGAAAATTTAGATTTATTCCCTCAAGATTCTAAAAATGTTGAAAGTCCTCATTTTAAAAATTTTAAAAAATGTCATTTTTACTGAAGAAATGCCCTAAAAAATTAATACATTTAAACAAAACGTAAACAGTAAAGCGTGCTTAAAATGCTCATAAAACTCACATCATCTTCAGGCTTTGCGCCGGCTTTAGGTTTGTCCTGCTTCACTTCCTCGCCTTCGGCCTTGCTTCCTGGGCTTTGCACCGCGGTTTTGGTACTCTTACTACTGGCCATAAGTCGAGCAAATTCGTCACCGACCGGTCCCAGCTAATCGAAATGCGGAAAAACAAAGAAATTACAATATTTTTCAAAAATTGCGAAGTTTTCTTTTGTTTTTTAATGAAAAAATGCCATAAATCTGAATTTTTTCGAATATATGGCCCAAAATGCCATTCTTTTTGCATCAAAAGTCTATAATTTTAAACTAACTTCATTTCGCCATAAAGTAGCTAATGCTTTACTTTAGTGTTCTCACCTAAAACTTAAATAGTAACTTAAATATACCAAAAACCGTAAAATTTGTTACCTAAAATTTAAAACTCAATTTTATTACCCAAAATCAACAAAACCAGGGACATCCTGAACAACAAAACAAAATATGATAACAATCTCCTAAAATCTATTGTGTCAAAGCTTTTTGCACCGGTTCAGATAAGGGGCAGATCTCGGTGTAGTCTACCCTCATTGCCACGCCTTCTGGGATATTACGTTGAGCGTACTCCAAGAATGTGGACGATGTGCTACCGGTCAAATGGTAAAGATCAATTTGTTTCTTTTCAGTTCGAATTTCGTAGTGAAGTTTGTACTTTTTGCGAGCGAATTTGGCACGAAGTAGAGGTTGGATCCATTTGCTGTAGCGAAGATGGCGGACACTCGAGGTTTCAATGTTCAAGAGGCTGCATGCATTCTGAAAATTGGAAGAAAGTGGAAAAAAATTAGAATTCAAATCTGTAAGAAACTAGCTTCTAATACCTAAATTTCAAAATCATGTAAATTATGTATACCTAAAACCTAAAAGTTCAAAATGAAAAAAAAATCAAAAATCATGGTCACGAAGAAAATTTAAATTTTATTTTCGCGGATATACTTTTTTTAATGTTCCTAATAATAAATTATGACTTTAAATGTAATTTTTAAACTTTTTAATACCTAAAAACTCCAAAAATTAGACCTAAAATTAAACTAACCTTAATAAAATTAGTGTATGACAACAATACAGCTTTGTCGTGACCTCTGACTTCGATTTGAACTTTTGAAAACAGTTTGTCTGGAATATCTGTAACTTCTCTATCTGCTGTTTGAAGCCCTCGCCTATAGGTGAAGTTTAGGCTTCGTCCCAGAAGATTCCTCAGCATCTGAAACGGCAATATTTTAATATTAAGGTTTTATAATACCACTATAAAATCCATAAAACATTCAACATTTGAAGAACACAAGAATCAGCTTATTAGCCATCTGAAGGCTTTGCCGGCACTAAAGATGCTGTAACCCCTAATGAAGGTTTTAAAAAAACATAAAATAAAAAAAAAACTTTAAATATAAATACCGTAATACGGTTAGACATCAAATTATCGTCCATAACTATATACTTTTATTTGTTTACATGTATGAACATAAATCTACAGAATATGTACAATAATGATAAAAAAATGAACAAAACTAGGCCAAGATCACCTGATCTAGCCTTAAGGCCTCCGCAAAACTTGTACTCAAATGACCGTGAAAGTATTATGTTACTAATATAGCTATAACATTAGTGACAACTTTTTAAAATGAATTTTTAACTACTACAAGAACCCAAATCCCAAGTTTTCCTACATCACATTGTCTCAATGCCCATCGTTTTCTATGTTATAGTAATTCTAAGTTCGTCTTCAACACTACAATAGCTCAAAGCCGTTCTCCTCAACCCTTTCTTCGTTGTCCATGTTGTTGTAAACAACTTTTTCTTTGACCACACTAAAAATAGGGTTTTTGGGATCATTTTTGTACTCTACAACTTCGTTTTCAGCTAAATTCTCGAACAATCCTATACATTCTTCCTCCGATGTTAATAAAAACCCCAGAGCCAGCGATGGATCTATTGAGTGTAGCTTCATAAACAACTTCTCTGACGTGTGATAAGAATCCCAAGTTTTTTCTGATTCGTTTCCATCTAGCTTTGCATATGGCTGACTTTTGTGCGGATCCAGGTATAGGAGTAGCTGAAAGGAAAATTTTAAACTTCCCCAAAAAAAATTTCCCAATCTGTAAAAACTTTAAAGAACACATTGTAAAAAAATTACAAAAGCATAAAAACCTCTAAAAAGACAATAAGTAAAAACTTACATCATGTGATGTACCAACAAAATAGAGTGAATGTTTAGGCCTTCCGCCAACAGCTCCAAGAAACGATTTTGTCATGAAGAGATACTTTAGAGCATCAAAATACTTCTGTAAGCCAAATTTTTTTGTTCCAAATCATAGAAATTTTATAAAATACGTTTCACAAAAACACATGTTACACAGCCCCACCTACCTCATTAACACTAGTTGTCCCTAACCTCACAGGTACAACAACCAAAACGTTCTTCGTCCAGCCTTCTGAAACATCTTCTATTTCCTGTAGTACCACTAAATTGTCAAAACATACAAGCGTTGACAAGTGTGATAATAGGCAGTTGTGGGAAGCATAGATAATATCACGGAATATAATAAAAGCTTCAGAAGGCGAATACCATCTGCCGACCGCGTTCTCAATCCCATTGTCTTGAGCTTGTTTTATAAATTTGTGTATTCCTAAAGGCCCTGTGTGATCGTCAAATAATCGAATAATGTTAGACAAGGTGGATGGAGTAGCATCTTCTCGGATCCAGTCTAAAACAAATTTCATTTTCCTACGTTTTTTAAGCTTAGTAGTTAATAAGTCTAATTATCTAACCCAGGGACGTCGTTTGGGGGAGGGGGTAGGGGGGGGGGTATTACCTCCCCCAGAGCCAATCCGAAAAAAATTCCACAGGTAGGTACCTGTACGTGAAAAAACGAAAAATAAAAATTTTGAAAAATCGGTCCACAGGTCTGTGGACGAAAAAAATTTTTTCGACCTCCCCCCTCCCCCAGAGAAAATCCGTAGCGACGTCCCTGATCTAACCCTCTAATAAATTTTAAGTCTCCAACGTATTCTTTAAAAAAGTTATGACAAACATCACCTATTCTTTCCTATCACTATAGGAGTTCATTACCTAAAATGCAACAAAAATAATCAAAAACGTACCTCGTCCTAAATTTTGTGTTATTAAAACTTGAGCTAACAACATTTGTGATGTTCGTATCATACAGCCCCATCCGGTGTCAGCAGTTGAGCTTGCTTGTTCATTCAACGGAGGAAAACCATTCCTATATGACAAGTATACTCTTCCTCGCAAATCTGATGCCAACAAATCTGAAAATGCCTTTTTTACAACTAAAAAAACAAGAAAGAGTTAAAGAGCAAAGATTAAAAGCTGTTTGCCATATTTTTTGTCACATGTTACCTATAATAATGTCAAAAAAATTTTTATGTTCGAAAAGTTTAACAACTACAAAAGAAAAAGCATAAAAACGTGTACTCATAACACATTGACCTAAAAACACAAAAAAATAACTATAACTTACCGCATTTTATGTTGTTGTACTCCTTTCCTAACAACCAAACACTATTACTATTTGAATTGCCTCGTAAACCACTCACCCAACTTCTATATGGTATACTACCTACACTATGTGCAAGACTATGCAATACTCGCATAGAATCAGCTTTTATTCGTTCTCCATTTCGTCGAATAACACCTTTGTTGTCTTCATTTTGATCAGACATCCCAGAAAATGAATAAAAACGAAGAGGTAGCAAATAAAACTAAACTAGTCTATCAACATCAATATTTTTCGTTCTTAACAGCTAGAAAATAGGTATTTTAATATTTTTCTTCAATAAAAACCTTCAATAACCTATAGACTTGATCATTTTACTCTTTTTTTCCGCAAAAATATCAATATAAGAAAATACGGAAAGCCAGCGATTTTTCTACTCTGTTGGCATTATTCGTTTTCGTGGCGGGACCAATTGACTTCTACTTTGTACTTTATATTTCCCACACGTTGAACACAAAGATCTGTTGAACTGGAGCTGAAAAAGTCGTAAATAAGCGGGGCGGGGAACGGTGTTGTGTCTGTTGGTCACAACCATCTTATCTTTAATAACATTAAATGTTCTGAGAGCATCTAACGTATTTGTGGGCTAATCAAGAGCGAAGATTGTTGTAAAGAGGAAGGGAATTGTTGCTTTTTGATCGTACTGCTATAACAGTGCATTTCTAAACTTTTTTACTTAATTCAATATTTTTTTAAGATTTCGGATCGTTTTAAAATTGATTTACTTAAGAAATATGCTAAAATATTGTCTTTTTAGGTATAAAACCATGTTATCTAGTGGAATTCGAACGGTTTCGCGATATGGAACGCGTTCCATAGCTTCCTTGTCTACTTTGGAGAATGTGAAGGTAGTGGATCTGGGTGATGGGGTCACTCACGTTCAGTTAAACCGTCCGAAACGAATGAATGCAATGACCTTTGGGCTTTGGGAGTAGGTTTATTGGTCATGTTATGATGTAAAAATTATGTCCACTACGAGATTTGTAGGGAGGTTGCAAAGCACATGTTTTAGTATTACTTAATCAGTGATCCTTATAGATTTGTTCTGTTTTTTTATTTTATTTAATGTTTTGTTGTACTGTGCAACCTTTCTTATTTCTTTTGCACCGTGCAGATTTTTAAATTCTATGTTTATGAATTTTAATATAATCCTATATGAAATTTAATGTAATTTAAGCATGTCAATTCATTATAAATTTAATTTTATATTTCAGTGACTTAAAGACATCATTTGACCATCTGAACACTTGTTCATCGACCAGGGCAGTGGTTTTGTCAGGAAACGGGCCGGCTTTTGGAGTTGGACTGGATCTTAAGGAAGCTTTTGGGGTAAGTTGCGTTTGATATTGACCGGTAAAAACGTGGCACAGCATTATGTTTAACTACGCGTTGTTTTTTTATACAAAATTTCGAATAACGTATGGATAACGTAATTTTAAACTAGGAAAAATAGGATTTTTTGTAGTATTTTGAAGTTTAAACCCTTTGAACTCTTTTGCTTTTTATATTATGGGTTGAAATTCTTAATATTCATTTGAAATTACAGTATATATTACTATTTATTTATTTGTTTGCTTGTTGAATGAGACAGATTACTTTTTTCAGCAACTTGTAGAAATAGGAGCCAACAAAGACAAGGATGTAAGCAGGAAAGCATTTGATCTTCTGAAAGCCATAAGGAAAGCTCAGGACTCTTTCATAGCAGTCACAGTATGCAGAAAGCCTGTCATTGCCGCGATTCATGGATTTTGCATTGGAGGAACGATAAGTTTGGCAGGAATGGCTGATATTCGATATGCAGAGAAGAGTACTGTCTTTAATATTAAGGTAAAATACGATGTAAAGGATTCAGTAATTATTGCGTTAAAAACGGGAGTAATTTTTTAAAATTTTTAGTTATTAGAATTTTTATCTTTAAAATGATAAGTTTTTTGGTTGACATTTTTACTTTTCAGGAAGTTGATGTAGGCCTGGCAGCTGATGTTGGTATTCTAAATGTTATATCAAAAGCCACAGGAAATGATAGTTGGTGCAGAGAACTGGCTTTCACTGCAAGGGATTTCAATGGTGTAGAAGGCTTAGAAAGAGGTAATTTTTATTGACTTTCAGCTGAACTGTTACCTAATATGTTAAAAATTTGCCTAAAATATTACTTAAAATTTTATAATTTGACTTAAACATTACCTAAAATATTATAATTCGATCGTTACTGTAAAAAGGTAATGAAAAGTTTCATTTTTTTTAAATTTCGAGTATTTTAGGATTTGTGTCACGAGTATTCGATTCAAAACAAGACTGTCTGAACGGAGCTATCGATTTGGCTAGGTTCATAGCATCAAAGAGTCCAGTAGCAGTTCAAGGATCTAAAATTGCTATGAATTATGCTAGAGATCACGGTGTACATGAGACATTCGACTTTTTACAAATTTGGAATTCAGTCCACCTACAGTCGGATGATATGCCGAAGATAGCTGAAGCCATGATGAAGAAACAGAAACCCAAGTTCAGCGATCTCTAAACTATTTTATTATTAGTACTAGTACTATTTTATTAGTACTATCAGTCATTTTTATTAGTCGGTCAAAAAGTTAAGGTTGTACTTGAAGTAAATTGTATTATAGCTTCTGAGATTGCTAAAAAGGCTGTTTTAGTTACTTTTTGACCAGTAGCGACTTCAGTATGACTATTAGCTTTTGAAAAGATAGGTATGCATTTGGGGTACTGAAACATGATGAAGAGTACTATAATGCGGGTTTTCTTTGTATATAGATTAGTTTTAGAAGGTACTGTAGAACCTATTTTAGTTGTGATTTTATATTATCGTATATCTATGTAAATATTTTTTATACTTGTATCATTATAATTGAATTTTTATACCTAAAATATGGGTTTTTTTATTAAATAAATAGAATCTTACGTTGTTTTATTGTGTTTTTTTTTCTATTTATGGTCATTTACCATTTTTTATCGTGCAGTTTTACGTTATTTTATATTATTTTTTTGATATTTTTTACACTTTTTTTGTAAAGAATGTGTATTTTATAATTTTTTATTATTGTCTTTCTCGTTTTGAGTAATTTTTACACTTTTTCTTATGTTTTACGCGGTTTTCTTAAACATTACTAAAATCGATATTGTTATAGGTCGCACAGGTAATACAGGATGATAAATACCGGGTAAGCCTCAAAACCTATTTTGTAAAAGTGTAATTTAGTAAATTTGCAGGAAAAACGGTGATTATATCGGGTGGATCGAGAGGAATCGGCAAAGCAATCGCATTGAAATTGGCATCAGATGGAGCTAATGTCGCTATCCTAGCAAAAACTACCACTCCACATCCAAAACTACCCGGTACTATCTACACAGCTGTTGAGGAGATTGAGCAAGTATGGGTTTTTCTTTTTTATTCAAGTGAGGAGTGAGAGCGTGGCAATTTTTTAGTGGGTAATATTTGTTTTTAAATCGGAAATTTCAAAAAAGATTTAAAATGGACCGTTTCACGAAGTTTTCATAAAAATTCAAAATATTTTAGGCAGGAGGCAAAGGCTTACCTTGTGTTTGTGACATCAGAAGCGAAGAAAGTGTTCATAAAGCTGTGGAAGACACCGTGAAGAAGTTTGGTGGTATCGACATCTGTATCAACAACGCTAGTGCTATCTCTTTGACTGGAACGTTGGCCACTCCAATGAAGAGATACGATCTGATGAATCAAGTCAATGCCAGAGGAACTTATTTATTGTAGGTTTTTGGGGTGTTTGGTTTAAAAATAGCTTGAAAACATGAAAAATTCTGTTTTTGGAAGAATTTTGGGACAACGCTGGAGGGAATGATAGAAATTCAACGTTTGTGATATTGATAACATACTATATGATCATTGCGATATAGTAAATGACTTTGACGACCTAGCAGTTTACATAAATGACATTGACTACATAGTATATGATGAAGAGGGCATGTTACATGAGATTGATCACCGACCAGTTAACGTTACTATTATTTCTTCCATAGTATATAGTATTTGAAATCATGACAAGCATAAAATAATGTTTGAGCTGTTCATTATAATGGAGGAAATTTTCAGATCTCGTGAATGTATTCCATATCTAAAACAAGCCAAAAACCCTCACATTATGATGATGAGCCCGCCTCTTCTTATGGACAAGGTCTGGTTCAGCAATCATGTTGGTAAGACCGTTGTTATAAATCTTTGTATTGGTTTTAGTTTACATTTTAGGCTACTATTTTTTTTAATTTATTTAAATAATAAGATTCTAATTTTTAAAATTTTAAAGCCTACACCATTGCCAAGTACGGAATGTCCATGTGTGTCTTGGGAATGCACGAAGAACTCCGCCCAGATGGAATTGCGGTCAACGCTCTATGGCCGCAGACTGCTATCTGGACTTCGGCGATGCAAATGTTGTCAGGCGGTGACAATTCGGCCGGATCAAGAAAGGTGGATATTGTCACGGACGCGGCCTATGCCTTATTGTCGAGAAATTCAAGAGAATTTACTGGAAACTTTGTCATCGATGAGCAGATCCTGAAGGAAGAAGGAGTGACGAACTTTGACAAATACGCTTGTGTTCCGGGTAGGTAGTTTTTTGGTTTGGGGATTAATTAAAGTTTCTTGCTGTATTTTTGTTTCAAAAATTTTTGAACTTCGGATTTGTTTTTGTTAAAAATTCTTTTAAATATCTCAAAAGACTTGAAAGTTTAAAAAGTGACAAATTTTGACGTAATTTTCAATAATACTGCTATATTGTTGTAGGTGCTCCCCTAACCCCGGACTTTTTCATCCCTGGAGGTGAAGATGACTATGATAAGGTGAATCAACAGAAGAAAAAGAAGCCAGTCAGCTCAAAGAACCTACAGCAAGGAATATCCAAACTTCAATTATTGGCTAACGCCAACAATGTCAGGGAAACTGGATGTATCTTCGAATTTCACATCAAGAGTAAGGAAAAGTTATGTTTTAGGTACTAAAGGTTACTGCTTTTACTTTTTTATAAAAATATGAATCAGAATGTCTTTTTTTATTTTTAAAGTTAGTTTTTTGATGGAATTATTTTTAAAAATTTTAAATTTCAGGCGGATTCGACCGCAAAATCATCCACCTCGACCTGAAAAACGGATCCGGCTCCGTCGGAGAAGGTCCATCACAAGAAAAGGCCGATATCGTTTTCGAAGCCGATGGACACGATCTGCTGGACATTTTGGACGGCAAATTCAGCCCATCTCAAGCCTACATGGCCAAAAAGTTGACTATCCGCGGCGACGTGACCGTCGCCCTGAAGTTGGAAGCCCTCCTGAGAAATCTCAAATAATAATAATTCGTTGTTTTTTCGATTTGAAATACACAGTAGTTAATTGTGTTGGGTTCTGTAAATTCCGTCAGTGCGGGTTTTGAAATAGTATGATATATTATATAAATCAAGATACGGGTCAGTTGGCGCATTATCCCAAAAGGGGAATGCAGTTTGGCTGTAAGGAAAAGTAATTTGGAATTAAAAAAAATTTAAAACTGTAGGAGATCAAAAAGATCTTTGTAAGAATATGTCTCTGTTTTCATTAATTTTTTGAGAATTGATATAGGGAAAAGACTTAAAAAACGTTTAAAAATATATTTGAGAATGAATATACAATATTTCTTTTTTCGTCTGACGGCCCGTTCGTTCCCCATGTGTAGGAGAAGGTTGGCCTTATAAATAACATGTTGATTTGGTTGCTGCTATACAAGGTTGTCTTAAATACATAGCTTTTAAAATAGTAATTTGCATACTTAAAATTTTCACATAACTATGACAATATACACAGTTGGTATCTTATGGCTTGATCAGGGGCATCACTAGGTAGGGAACCTGTACGATACGCGAAAAAAAGAAAAAATATTTTTTTAAGATTGATCCACAGGCATAGAAAAAATAGAAAAGGTCTTGTTACTAAAACTTTCCCATATATGGGCATTGCTAAATACATCGGTTGGTCAAATAGACAATAAATCGGCAATTTCGTGGCTGAGCACGTATCAGCCAAAAACGCTATTCTTCCCGCAATTCTTACCTAAAATCATATTAAAAAGAAAAGTTAACCTCTAGAAATTCTCCAAAAAATAACAGTCAGTTTCGACCTGTCGCGTCCGCATACAGTCTTACAATGCAACCATAAACGATGAAATTTATGTACGTCCAGAAAACGCGCCATTGATAAGATGGCATTAGTGTAGTAAAATTAGAAAAGCTATAAAGTAAAACCGTATAAAAAATACATAATAGTATTTAAACGTCTTTTAAAAGTTTTGCAGTATTTTATTGTTATAAACGTGTCATCAAGACTGATTTTTAACAAGATTAATAAAGTAAACTAATAAATAAAAAAGCTAAAATTCTATTTAAACAAAACATAAAATTCATTTAAAATATTTTTTTGTGTTTTACTTTACTTTAGCAGTTAATTATGAATGTCACGATGATCACTTTTTTAGACACGATAGAAAAGTTAATATTCCAAAAATAAAATATTTTCAAAACCTAAAACATGCATATTGTCTCTTTCTTTAACAATACTACCGCTTTTACAATCGCGCGATATATGTAACAGGGAAACACTTGACCATCAAGGGGAAAGAAAAAGTTGATACGCATCAGCTTTTTTGGCGAAATTATTTAGACATTTATTTGGGGTGAACATGTAATGAACATGCTTTTAAAGCCAAAATATTTTGAAATTATGTTTTTTATATTATAACAAACCTATTTTTACTTTATTTTACCGTTCTATTAAGCCGGAGATTCCGATCGGCGAATTGATGCATGTGGCATCAGAAGGCAAAAAGTAAGTTTTGTTTATTTTTAGCTTATTCTTTATTTAGTACAACGTCTTCAAGAACAAGCTTCGAGATGCTTTCGACGAGCACGGTCATGACAATATGCGAAATCTTATAATCGATGACGACTTGCAGAATCAAGTCAAAAATACGATGATTAAACTTCAGTCGGTTTTGTTCATATTAAATAGGTGAGTTTTAAATATTAATGAAAGGTCTTTAATGGTTTTGAGGGTTTATTTTAGGAAAAAAATTGTTTTTTACGTATTATGTTGTTGTAGGCATGAAAGATAGTGAAGACTCGTATTATTGCTATAACTGTACTGAAAAGGTGTTTAGAAACTTGAGAGTTTGTGCAATGTTAGATTATAAAGTTTTTTAGTTAATACCATAAAAAGCGAGTTTAATTTAACCTTCTCATTTTCAGTATGAATCTACAAGGTGAATTATCTGGCCTGGTCGGTAAGACGTCAGAATTGTACGATGAAATTGGTCGAGCAACAAAAGGAAGTGATGAATTTACTGTCAGTAACATCAAATTCCCAGTTTACGATGATACAGCTTTCGATTTGATATTTGGAAGTGCAAACAAGGACGAAGAGGTATCAATATCGAATGTTCAGGAGTTGAAGCACGCCTTTTCCCAGAAGATGAACCAGTTTATGGAAGAAGCCAATAAATTGCTAGAGGAATATCGTACCGTTATGGACGACTTGAAAACTGGTAAGTTTCATTTGATTCCTTAAAGGATTTAAAAAAGAAAGTTTTCCTGATAACTTTTTATGCTCTTTCATCCTATATAGGTTTTGTTCGAGAAGCCTAGGGATATTTGGTGACATTTCCTAGTTAGCGAGAATTTCGCTGGATTTACAAATACTCTAATCTGAATTAAATATATTTTTTTAGTTCGTCTTCTGAATAATCAAACAGAAATATTGGACAAAATTGTAGAAAGTTCAAATCACACCCAACAGAATGTTCTTCAAGAAATCAAAAGGCAGAGTAAAATTGATGTAAGTATTTCTTTACAATTTGGTTAGGTACGTTTTTTGCGTAACGCATACCAATGGGCGATTCAAAACACTTTTCTTTTTTGGGCGATTTCTTTAAAGGCGATTTTTTATGGGCTATTCAAAACACTAATCGTATATAACATTACCATATACTATTATATCCACGATTAAAGTAGGGTAGTTAAGTGAGGCTCATACCCATATTTATACCCCTACCCGGCGCTAAAATAAATGCGGTTTTTGGACATTTGCGGATTTTTAATTTTTTTAAATTTAATTTAGCTTTAGTATGGTACTGAAGGTTCAAATTGGTACTGTTTTAATATTTTTTGGTACTAAATATTACTAAAGTTCAAATTGGTACTGTTTTTATATTTTTTTGGTACTAAATGGTACTAAAGGTTCAAATTGGTACAGTTTTTATATTTTTTGGTACGTACCCCCCAAAAAAAAATTTCAAAAAAAATTTGAACGTGGTCGCACCTGTGGATTTTTGGAAAAAAATTTTTGAAAAAAATCGGCACAGGTAGCTGGTTTTATTTAAACAATTTGGCGATGTTACGACGGATGGACTTATAAATTTAGAATGTAGGACTGTTTGAAGCTTTTCTACCATAATATTAAAAAACTTAATATGTTGCATTAGTCTGTCGTCAAAGTCTTCTCCACCCAGATGAGTGTTTCCAGCGGTAGCCAATACTTCAAACAAGGACTCATGTTTCAAGATGCCAAAACACTGCAAAGAAATTTCTTTTTTGTTTTTTGTTGATTCTATCGCGGATTCTGGTCTAAATGCTTCAAGTATATTTTATATAACTGTTGCTAAGCATTTAATTTATAGGAGCAGCGACGAAAGTATGTTGTTCTTTGCGCCTTTATTTGCGCAGCCGCTGGCATCTTCCTAATTTGGCTTTTGAAGAGAAATTGAAAATAATTTGGAAATTTACCATGAACTGCAAAGAACTAACAGACAAGCATGTGGCGACACGTGAAAATGAAATATTAAGTTGTTAGGTAAGTCGTGGAAAAATGAGGAAAAAATATATGTATTTCTCAAGTTAAGAAATGAAACGCCGGATTGAAACTAATTTACAAATTACAGTTAGAGAGTTCGCAAAGAACCACAAAATGTTTAGTTTCCGCAGTTTCAAAACATTTGAAGACAATGGGATACGTCAAAAACCTGGAGAAGTGCGTGACCAAATTTTTAATTTTTTTGTTTAAATTTTATCAAATTTCATTATTTTAAAGAAGAACCACATACAAACATAGCGTCTTCTGTTTGGAGTCAAAATATTGACTGAGCAGGTTTATGGCCTCCGCCGATAAACGTGCTTCCCGAAGATTTTTGTGCAAAAGTTTAAAAATTATCAGAGTCCATTTTGAGGGCAAGAGGCCAAATCGTTATCAGATTAGCCGCTCTAAAATTCACATAAGCAAACGCCCGCACTTTTGGCCTTAGCCAGCAAAAAGGACATAGGACAGTGAGAAACGATGCAGAAGACAAGAAATTGGTATAAAAAGCCAGGTGCCGAGGAATCTATATTGATCCGGCTGTCTTCCGACCTAAAAGACGGTCGACAGTTTTTATTGTGTTTCAGAGTGGCCTCTGACAAGCTTTTCTGGTCTCCGGACAAGCATTCAACTCGGATGAATGCTTACGCTAAAAATGTGTACCAGGATCAAAGGCCAAGGATTAGGCCAGGGATTAAGAAAAGGGATAGGCCAGGGAAAGGCAATCGCGCGCCAGCAGTTACGGACCAGACTCCGTCGGTAAATCGTATTTATTCGAGTCCAGCAATGGCGGCTCTATTAAGGCCCTACTCAAAAATACCTGACATTAGACATGAGAAACGGGCCGGGCCGGCCTGTATGTTAGGCCCGGCCCGTTCGAAATTTTACTCAAGGCCGGCCCGACCCGTTTCTCATGTCTACCTGACATGGGAAGGTACTTAAACCAGAAATCGACTTTGGGACGAGACCTTTATATTATGAAAGCCTTGTGCTCGCTGAGTACGAATCTGAAAGCCGTTTTTCCGTATGGCTCTTCGTTTTCGAGAAAATCGAGTTTAAAGTTTGACCCAAATCGCATTAAAAAAGCGCTCCGCAAAGGCTCTCGCAAAAAACAAAAGAGAAGCAAGTGGCGGCGTGGCGCAGAGGTAGAGCGCTTGCCTTCTAGTTTTAACCATGCAGGTTCGACACCGGACAGGCTAGTTTCATTTTTCAACAAGTTTCAATTATGAAAATTTATGCAAATCATAACGAAACATTAAATGTTTTTGCAATTTTTATTTTGATGTTTGGACACAATTAACGGATCTAGTAGGCCTATTGTGAAGATTGCAAATTATAAGTTTAGAAACTTTTACTAAATTATCATTTTTCAGTTTCGGAATAATGGACTAGTCGCCCTGGGGTTGGCGCTGGCAACGCTAGGTCTCGGTACGGGAATTACATACCTGATGAAGTAATATGATAGTATAATTTTCTCAATTTCTATGCTTTTTATGGGCGCTAGTACAAATGCGGTTTTTGGACATTTGCGGATCTGCGGTTTTTAGACACTTGCGGATCTTCGGTTTTTGGACATTTGCGGATTTTTTAAAGGGGTTTTTTTTATTTAATTTAGTTTTAGTATGGTACTAAATGGTATTAAAGTTTAAATTGGCACTATCTTAATATTTCTTAATGTTAAGTAGTACTAAATTTTTAATCGGTACTGTTTTTATATTTTTGGTACTAAATAGTACTAAAAGCCCAAAAAGGCACTGTTATGTTAAAACCGTACCAATTCAAACTTTAGTACAATTTAGTACCATAATACAACTAAATTAACTAAAAAAATAAAAAAAAACCTTTAAAAATCCGCAAATGTCCAAAAATCCGCAAGTGCCTAAAAACCGCAGATCCGCAAATGTCCAAAAACCGCATTTGTCCTAGCGCCCTTTTTATGTTATTGTTTCTTATCTTATAACCTTTTTATTCTGGTATTTATTAACTCATATTAATACCTATTATTATCTTCATACTCATGTACATACTCATACTCCTGTCGATATTCATACTCATATATTTATACCCATACCCTCACCTACACCCATATTCATAATCCTGCCCCTACCCACACCCATATTTATACCCATTCCCGCGTCTTTTTTTATTATATAAAATACTGTAGTTTATTTATTATATAAAATACTGTAGTTTGTTTATTATATAAAATACTGTAGTTTTTAATATATTTATGGTTGTCTCTGCTTATTTAGCTTTGTATAATTGTAATGTTCTTTTTAAATAAATATGATAGTAATTTGTATTTAGAATAATGTGTTTTATAGTAGTAATAAGACTTACGGAATTAGGTCATTGCCCGAGCTATCGGACTAGTCGTAAGACTAGACAGTACCAGTTGGTTGGTAATTGGGGGATTAACTGGGTATTATATCCGATATAGGTAGGTAACTTAACCATAAAAAGTATTCTACCCCCTAATAAAATTGCAGTAGTCAGTAAGGTGTTATTTGTGATAATTAAGGTTACTTATGTTACAATGTGTAGACATGAGCAACGGGCCGGGCCCAATTTTCAAGCCCGGCCCGCGGCCCGGGCCTAACTTTCAGTCCGGGCTTGTTTTTGATTTTGGTCAGGCACGGCCCGATCAGAAAATTTCTAGGCCCGGCCCGTTTTAAAAAATTTTAAAACTTAAAAAATAAACGGAAATTTGGCTTTAACTTGTTTTTTAGATCATTTATGGAACATAGTACCTAATAAAATTGAAAAACATCAATGGGGATTGAAATAAAAAATTAAAAAATTTTTTTTTCGGATCCGGGCCCAATTTTCAAGCCCGGTCCGTTTTTGATTTTGGTCAGGCCCGGCCCGTTGCTCATGTCTAACAATGTGAGTATGCGAGTCAAGACTGTCTTTGTATGGTGTCAAGTATTTCCCAAAAAAGGGCGCTAACTGCAAGCGAAAATAAAATTCTTGGTCAGCCATTTTTGCCAAAGAGAACCTTTTTGTTCGTTATTTTAATATATTGCCATGAACATGTACTCCACTTTGCCTCCACCGTCACAGAATGATTCTGATTCAGTGGAGCCGGCTTATTTATTTTCGGATTCTTCAACTACGTCGTTAACACAAAAGCCCGGATTCAGATTTAAAGCTCCTCAGGTAGGTTAACTCAATTTTTTGTGCACAAATTAGTGTGTTAATCGTTTAGGCCAAAGGCTTTTTAATTGTAAAGGGTTATAACATTGAGTTTTTGGTAGACATGAGAAACGGGCCGGGCTTAAATGTTAGGCCCGGCCCGATCGAAATTTTGCTCAAGGCCGGCCCGTTTCTCATGTCTAGTTTTTGGTGGTGTGAATAAATAAGGATGGTTTTTAGTCACGTCCTGAAGATATTATGGTTGATGGACCTGGCCGAAGGTTAAGGAAAAATGTGGCCAATGTACGACGACACATAGATTATGTTGCCAATTGTTTACGGATGGCAGATGTAAGTTTTTATGTTATTTATATTGATATTTAGGTAGGCAACAAACTCTTTCTGGTTCTTGGCTATATTGTTACAAAAACAATATTATAGTAGGCTCTACATAAAACAGAAAAATTTGTTTTGGTTTTAGCTTATACACTTTATAGTTAATATTTAAAATACTTCAAAACGCTTAATATCACATACAGAAGCTTATTTTTACAGGAAAGACTTATCCAATACGGAAAAAGAGACAGGAAAGTTGTTCAACCCGATATTATCTACCAAGCTCATGTTCTACCTCCATGTGCAACTTTGGACACTCCAGTTGATTGTGTTTTAACTAAATTTGTTCGAGCAGCTATAAATAAGATCAAATGTCCTGTTTATAGTATTTGTGTAAGTTATATTGGTTTTGTGTTGGCTTTTAGGTAACGAATGGGATAACTTTGAAAATTGTGAAAAAACTTGATGTATAACATCACGTTTTCACTATAAATTATTTTTAAAACGTCATGTTAACTATTAATATTATTATAGTGGACACCTCAAGGAAAGCGTCTATTAACAGGAGCAGCATCGGGAGAGTTTACTTTATGGAATGGCAGTGCATTTAACTTTGAAACGATTCTACAAGCTCACGATGTAGCTATACGATCTTTGAAGTGGTCTCATAATAGTATGTGGATGGCATCCGGTGATCATGATGGGTTTGTCAAGTATTGGCAGCCTAACATGAACAACGTTCACATGTTTCAAGCTCATAAAGACGAACCTGTCAGGTCGATAAGGTGAATAATTTTAGTTTTTATACATAACTGGCTAGGTAATTTAATTTTGTTTCTTTGATTAAAATTTCTGACTATTTTGAATAGAAAAGCCAATATTTGATTGCCATATCGTAAAATATTATTTATTAAGAATAACATTGATTTTAGTAACCCTTATAATGTTTTAGTTTTGCTCCAACTGATGCCAAATTAATAACTGGATCAGATGACGGAACAGCGAGGATATGGGACTTTGCTCGGTCAGAACAAGAACGAGTTTTAAGTGGGCATGGTGCAGATGTAAGATCTGTCGATTGGCATCCAACTAAAGGATTAGTGGCTACAGGATCTAGGGATTCACAACAACCAGTCAAAATTTGGGATCCAAGAACTGGGATTTGTCTAACTACATTGTGAGTTCGTGTTTTTAAAATTTTAATTATTTTTAAAGGATTTTTTTATACGTTAGCAGAAGTTACCATTGACCTATTGCAATAGGTCTAAAACAATATTTAAAAAATTAAAGAGATTTTTTAAAAATTTAATGTTATTTTTGGAATTTTGAATTATTTTTTTAAGCCACGACCACAAGAATTCAGTAACAGCAGTAGAATGGAATAAGAACGGTAATTGGTTGTTGAGCGGCTCTAGAGATCACGTTATCAAACTCTATGATATACGAATGTTAAAGGAGGTACAGACGTTCAGAGGCCACAAGAAGGAAGTTACAGGTTTGTTTTTACATTTAAAAATTTGCTGAAAGTTTTGGTTGTCATTTCTAACTAAAAAACATATTTTAGCGATTGCTTGGCACCCCGTCCACGAAGGTCTTTTTGCCTCAGGCGGTGGAGACGGTTCTCTTGGCTATTGGAACGTCGGAGCCGATGAAGAGCTAGCTCTATTAGAAAACGCTCACGATCAAGCTGTTTGGTCCATCCAATGGCATCCTCTTGGCCATATCCTAGCTACCGGTTCCAATGACAACAACACAAAGTTCTGGGCCCGAAATCGACCGGGCGATACTCAAGAAGACATTTTCGGCTTGGTCTACACTTCTGGCATCAATTTGGCCGCAATCACGGCCGCATCGAACAAAGAAGACGGAGTTAAGACGGATGCTATTGAGACGGTCAATGTGGAAATGAAGGGACCGGTGATTCCGGGTATGGGCCTGGATGATGACATTTATGGTGCAATGAACACGGATTTGTCAGTTCCGGCGACGATGCCAGTAGAAGATTCTATGGCGGATAATAACAAGAATGTAAGGGTTTTTGGAGTTTCTTTGGCTGTTTGGATATCTAAAAGACATTTTATTTTTAAAAATATCGTCATTTACTACTACTGGTATCGATTTTTTTTAGAATTTGCGAACAAAATATTTTGTAACAAATTACTTTTCTATGACATTGTTTTAGGGACCAAAACGACCACAAATCATGAAACAACCTCCACCGAAGAAGGCTCAACGTCAATTCGAACGAATCTGGAATATCAGCAAACCAGGAGCAGATTCAGAAGCCAATGACTACGATCGAATGGATGATTCTACAAACTACAATAATGTTCCACCACCAGGTCCATCACTAATGGGATCCTCGACGAATGGCTGGAAATCAAACAGTCTACTAGGACCAGCGGCCGAACTCCCAGGCCCTCCTCCACTAATGGCCGGTGGTCCACCGATGCCTTTCGGAGCGGCATCGAATTTTGGACCTCCACCTGCCAATTTTGGACCTTCAGGATCTAACTTTGGAGGACCAAACTTCCCTTCAGGACCACCGCCGAAACCTTTTCCAAAACCGCCACAAGGTTTTTCGTCGGCACCGCCCGGTAACTATCCACGCGATCAGAGAGAACAATATCCGCCAGGAAGAGATCAGCAACCATATCCACCGGGAAGGGAACAGAGAGACTACCCACCTGGACGAGAGCAGAGAGAACCATACCCACCGGGACCTAATCATCAACAATTCCCACTAAATCCAAACCAACAACCATATTCAGGACCTCCTCCACAACATTCTGCTCCACCCGGTGATAATTATCAATACGGACCACCTCCTCTCAGCTCATGGCGAAACGGACCACCACCCCCGCCTCAAAATCAGGCGAATCCACCCTTCCCACGACCACCACGCCCAGCTCACAACAATTCGTGGCGAAGTAATCCGGCGTGGAACGGCAATAATCAACGATATTGATGTTGGTATTGTATCCGCAATATTTGGGAAGTATTTACAATATTGAGTATGATCGAATGTCTAAAATATTAAGCGTGATGCTGATATCAGTGATATTGAGATTGATAAAACGAGGACCTTTGGGTATTGAAGTTGTTTTTGGACTACTGTAAAGAATTGAAAAGTTTTTGTTAAAAAATTGTTACAGTAACTAATTATTAAATAAAATATATGACGTGATATTGTTATGAATTTGATATTGGTTGTTTTATTAAACAAGTGTCGTTTTATCTGTTTTGTGTTTATGTGGTTTTGGTTGTTTACCATTTTACTTTGAGTTTCTTGTGAGATTTGTTGCGTTCTTTCTTTATTGTTTTGGCCTTTTTGTAAGTTATGCTGTTAAACCAATAATTTTGAACGGAAAAATGTTATCAATCACTAAAAAATCTGTTTTTCCAACAAAATTTTTGCAAAAGAGTCCGCTCTTTTGAAAGACCAAGTCAGATTTCGTATTGTTTCTAGGAAGATTTGTACAATTGGTATAATCTGACTGTAAAAGTAGAATACTGGTCTAAATACAGGTGTGAATAGTCTATTTTTGGTTCCTTTTGCGGCACTTGAAACTCGCAATATCAATCAAGTTCCAAGTGCCAGATAAACTTAACCTTACATTAGCCTTTCCCTTGCTTTCACCTCTTTGTTTTTCTTTTATAATTCTGTGTAATGTTGTCCTTCTCAATTTCATGTCGACAGTCCACTCTCCTTCCTTTCTTCCTCACCCTTCTCCCTTCTTTCTTACCTCAACCTCATTGTTTGATTAATAACCAACCCAAAACATTTAGTTTTCGAACTGATTACCGGCGGGTATTTTAATAAAAGAGCTCTTTGTTGTCGTTTGATGTAGCCGCCGAGGCAAGATTCCGGCGACCGCTGAGCGACGTTTGTGGCCCCGCCCTTTGATAAGTCGCCGCTCTTTAATGGACCCGAAAAGGGGGGGGACGCTGGAAAAGCCGAAGAAAATGGACGCCACTTTTTTGCTTTTGCGTTCGACTGTCGAACCGTGTGGTACCCTATGCGCGAGTCCAACCGAAAGCTTTTGACGGTTTTTTTTTGAATTTTCGGACGCCGAACACCTTTCTCTTTATTCGAATTTAAATTCCGAATTTGATTTTTAAATTCGAATTTTGGGGTTTCGGGGATTCGAAAAGTTGTCGGCAATTTCCGGCTGATTTTTGTGGGAATTGTGCTACAGAAGGCGGCGCTACAGGTTTGTTTTGTAAGGAAGGAGGATAGGTAGTTGTATGGCTGTTAGGATAAGGGTTGGGTAGGGCATATATCGAGTTTACTTTGCTATAAATCATGCTCATGATAATATCTTAAGTTTAATTGTTTTAGATTGTGAACAACACTTCTCAAACCCACAGTTAGGATAATATAGCATTGGAAAGGATCAGCTGTAAATAAAATGCCAAAACCAAACTTTTTCAGAAGATTGTTGGGCAAAAAAGAACGGGATGAATCTGATGAATACGAGGAGGTAAAGTTTTTTACTGTCACTTGCTTATGTTAGTAGGATTTTGAAGAGTTTTACTTGGAAAAACAAGTTTAAAGGTTTTAAGTAGAAAAAAAATCAAATTTTGGGTATTTTTTTTGAAAAATCAGCTTCAATATTTATAAGAAAAGCTATGAATTTTAAACTCAAAAACATTGTTTTTCGCATTTTTTTTGTAAAATACGATATACTTAGTAAATTCATTTACAAATTATTATTCTAGGACCAACCCCATCATTCCCGTCGCCGCACCACCCATCGAGTAAATCAAAGTTTTATGATGCCAGAACGAAGCGAGAACTATTCCCGAGAAATCAACCCATATCACACGAATAAGGTCGTACAGTATCGAAAAGGCACCAGAAGTTGTGTCGCTGGGCGTCTCGACGATCCCACCTCGGATTCGGATGAAGATGCCGCTTCAGTCCATACCGAAGTCAAAAGCTATCGTTCATCGAAACGACACGGAAAGAGCGGTCGAAAAGTAATGGACGTCGAGGAGAGAGTGCCGAAACAATACCTGAGAGAGATGCATGTTAATCACCGTGCGCAGCGTAGAGAGTTTTTGGATGATGAAGTTGCGTGGGGACAGAATAGAATTGAGGTAAGGTTTAGAAGGTTTAAAAATGTTTTTTTGGTTGTACTGGAAGTTTTTGTAGATGTACTGGAGAGGATAAACAGAAAGTTTTTACACAAATTGTAAAAAGGTATTGATTTGACATTTTATTGGCGGGAAAATGGTCAAGATGTCCAGAGAATTAAAAAAAAAGTTATTTTAAGAAGCCCGATTTGAGTCAACAGAATTTTAAAGTTCCTAGTAGCTTGTATAAAAAGTAATGAGCTAGTGAATTCCACCTCGCTATAAAAATCGTTATTTATTATGTTTAAAAGAATATTTATGCTATTCTAAGTATGTTATGAATACAATATTAATAAAAAACGAATTTTAGCAATTGGAAAAGAAGGTAGAAACAACCTCGGATCAGCTATACAGAATGACAAACAAATGGATGTACGAAAATAACCGTTATAACGAGTTGAATGACAAGTATCATAGAATCAAAGAGAAATACATCTTACTGAAACAAAAGCACGAGGATTTGGTAGGTTTTAAAATTTATCTACTATGTTTTTGATTTTTTTTGGGGCGGGGGCGTAAAAATTTGTTTGGGCTGAACTATGTATTTTAAAAACAAATAGATCTGAAAGTCTACTAGGCCCGGCTTTGGCTTGTGCTAAACTAGGCCGGGCTGAGTTGTCCCTTCCTTATTTACGGCACAGAATTTTTATCATCAATGATTAACCCAATAATAATCATGCCATTTCAGCAGAACAGTATGATAATGCATCAGCCTCTCCAACCACCTCCCTTCATGAATCCTCAAATTCAAGGCACTCCGAACAGCTACAACTTCTCACTAATGAATCAGCGCTCTGCTAGTCTACTAACCAGCCCAGTCCGACCAATGCCTCCTCATATACCTAACTTGAGCAAATTTGAAGGCGAAATGGATGAAGTCAAGCACTTCCGAGGTGCGTCAGGTGGAGCTCGAGAAACGTTGATGAGCGAAGCCAGTACCTCGAGAGTCTCGAATCCATCGCCAGCTCCAGAAGTGGCACGAACTGAGAGTTTGATGAGTATCGAGATTGAAACTCCGGAAATTCCGGCCGATGATGAATATAATGATAAGGAATTCAATAACTTTAAAGTGCCGAAAGGCAGAAGTTGCCGTACTAATGAGTATGAAGTGCCACGAAGCTCACGAGCTGTGATTCATCTTGATACCGCTAGAGGGCAGTTGGATATGACTACTGGGAGGGAAGCTATGGCTGATGATACCTTCTCTAGAAGGTCAGAATCCACTTCAAGAAGGCAAGAAGCTATTTCAAAAAGACTAGATAAAACATCAGCAGCTCTAGATGAAACTGAACCTTTTGAAGATTTCAAAGAAAATTTTAAAGCAGCAAAGATTGTGAAAAAAGAACGCCAAGACGAGGGCTACAGCACAGAAGAAGCCCAACGATCTATCAAAGCCTTTGATGTATCCATGTTTAGACAAAACAAAGTACCACGCAAAATCATGAGGGCTAGTAGTCGATGAAGTTACTTGTAGAAAATGGATTTATTGTACTGTTAGTAGTAGATTTTTTAAAACGTTTTTAATGTTTTTTTGGCTGTTACTTTAACTAACTTTAATTTATACTGAAAAGATTGCGCACGGTGCAATAGATTTAGTTTTTCTATAGCACTGTGCAAACTTTCTCAAAATATGATTTTTTTGGAATGGTTGTTGGTATTACCTATAGAAAGCTACCAAAGGCATGCATATGTTTGTAACAGCATGTAGTTATTTTTAAAATGTTTTGGATGGTCAACGTGCAAGCAATTTAACGTTTTTAGTGCACTGTGCTAAATTTTTCCAAACTTTTTAAAAATCTTTATATGAATCTCGGTGAATACCGTGTATTACTATTGATCAATAATATGTATTAATATCACCAATCTCTCAAAACAATTGTCTGTTAGTATCAAGCTTTTCTACTATATTATGATATAAGATATTATAGTAGGAATAACATGATTGCAAAAAAAAGTTTGTAGGAAATGAGTTTTAATTATTTTGTATGTTTGTACTACTATATCTTTTACCCGTTTTATTTTTTTTTGTAATTAGTTACGTCTTCTTGATAATAATAATGTTAACTTATGTTTTTTAAACAATGTCAATTTTTAATGTTTTTAAGTTTTAATCTTCTCTATCATTATTTTTTATCATTATGCTTGATTGAAAAATAAATATTAGGATTGTACATGATATTTAATTTGAACGTATATGGCTTTTTGGCTAGTTTACTGTAGTGTCGGTTGATATTTTTGAAAAAGAATGAATCTGGAGGCACGTGTAGGATTGCACACATTGCACGTGCGGAACTAAAATGCTTTGTTTATAAGCCTAGGCATGGGACTTAAAAGTATGGGATTGATTTTAAAGGTATAAGTTAAATCAATAATATTAACCATCATTATTTTAAATTGCTTTAAGTTACAGTAAATTTAAGAATACGATAACAACGTTTAATCTGTCGAACACTTTAACTGTGAAGACTTTGGATTCCTGAGATCACGGCGAATTTGATAGATCTGGTCGGTGAAACGGTCCGCTTTCACTTCGCATCTAAAATAATATTATAGAAAAGGTAAAATACGTCTGCGCTAAAGTGTTTGCCATTTGATGTTTTTTAAAGAAAGCTATTTCAAGTTTTGTTAACAAAGTTATTGCTATTTCGAGTACTTTAAAGAAAATTATTGCCTTTTTAAGTACTGTAAAGAACGTTTTTATATTTTTTTTGTAAAACAAAATTTCTTGCCTATTGGAACATAAAAAACTTACTCAGTAGCGATAGAACAACACCTGGACAATTGATTGCACTTCTTCTGCAACATTTTCTTGACTCGGCGACAAACTCGATGACTCTGTTTTATGACAACATGCTTTCGTTTGGTCCTTAAACTCTTTTTGCCAAATGTTTTGGGATTCATTATCACTTCGTTCAATATCTGCAGTTTCTCCGACGCCGACCTACACTTGGCTTCCTAGAATACGGTTGATCAATTGAGTTTTTAGGTAATTGAATAGGTATTAAGTTTGATAATATCTTTAAAATTTGGTTTTGTAAAGAAAGTTATTGCCATTTTGTGTTTTGTAAAGAAAGTTTTTGCTATTTTTTATCTTGTAAGCACAGTTTTTGCTATTTTTGATTTTGTAAAGAAAGTTCTCGCCAGTTGTGTCCTGTAAAGAAAGTTTTGGTCATTTTAAAGTTTGTAAGCAAAGTTGTTGCCATTTTGACTTTTGTAAAAAAAAGTTTCTGCCAAAAAAATCAACACATACCACATCCGAATCCATGATATCTTCAGCACGATCCAGATGTGCAGCGACACAATCACTTATGATTTCTGTCCTTTTTAACTGTAGTTTATTCAATTCTCGTTGTTGCTTTCGCCTTTCTTTCCGTTGACAATCGGCCAACGGCGTTAATTTGGCGAAGTCTTCCTTCTCGAGAACTGGAAGCTTCAAACATTCTCGTTGTTTGGCTTCTAACCTCTCCAAACATAGGTTATAGTCTTCGCAGTAGTCTGTCTGGAAGTATGGTATTCATTTTTGAAAATTAAATTATGAAAATTAAAAAAATTTTTATGAAGGTAAGTTGCTGGCATTTACTGTTTTGTAAAGAAAGTTCTTGCCATTTTTGCTTTGTAAAGAAAATTCTTGCCATTTGGTGTTTTGTAAAGAAAGTTCTTGTCATTTTTATTTGTAAAGAAAGTCCTTTTAATTTTTTGTTTTGTAAAGAAAGTTCATGCAATTTTTAGTTATGTAAAGGAAGTTCTTGCTATTTTTCGTATTGTAAGGAAAGTTCTTGCCATTTTAAGTTTTTTAAAGAATGTTTTTGTTATTTTTGTTTTGTAAAGGAAGTCTTGCCATTTTATGCTTTGTAAAGAAATTTATTGACATTTTAACTTTTCAAAAAAAAATACTTGCCATTTAACTGTTGAAAGTTTAAAAAAGTTAATTTTTTGTTTATGTATCTTACATATCTGTTCTATTCTATTTTTAACCTTTTTTTAATTCTCAAGTTTTTTCTAACGTGGTACATGGATCAAATCGAAATCCGACACTTTTGTCTACTTTTTTATACAAAAAAAACTTTGAAAAAATCACAGACCACGTAATTGACAGAAAAAACTACATTTGCCAAATACTATGATCATTTGACATATTTTGATAACCCCCCCTTTTCCCCCCCCGAAGTTTGAAAAATACAATAATGTATACATAGGGCACCTAGTGATGAGATTCGTTATTAGCCATTTAAATTTTAAAAAATCAAGAGATTTTAGAGCGTCAAAAAAGTCCTGTCGTTTATGTATGTTAAAATACACATGAATTAACAACAAGACTTTTTTTTACTTTAAAATTTGAAAAAATTTTAAAATTATTATAAAAAACCTTTTAGCATTATTATTCTTACCTTTTAAAAACTTTTTAAAAATTCTTAAGACCCTCTAAAATGACAAAAATCATGAAATTCTTACCTCCCTCGAGCTGCTGAGATCCTGTGAGTTTGCGGGCGAAAAAATTAGTAATAAGACAATGAAAGACTTCATGCCGTTCTGATCATGCTAATCACAACTCGATCCGCAAATTCGACAAAAGTCAGCTGTTGGCCGTTGAGGGCGTGAAAACGTCAGGGGGAAACCGCCACGAACGTTCGAAAAAGTGGAATGAAAGTTTTTGGTTTCATGAGGATTGTTGGGTCCTGCGCAAATACTCTCAAGTGTGTTTTATATTTCATCCGTCAGTTATATTCATCCGTCAGTCAATTGTAACATTATCTCACTGATCCCTGGCTTTCGAACTTTTACCACGCTAAAGGGCGAGGTAATTGAGGTTGAGGGGGAGGGGGATCGTAATTTTGGGACAGAAATTACTATAAGTAAAGTACAGTGGAACTCTTGTATACCAAATCGCTTGAGAATTTAAAATTTGATTGTTATAAAGGAGTTTTGGTATACTGAAGTTGTAATGCAATGAGAAGTGCTGTTTGGAGATTTGAAAGTTGTTAGACATACAGAAAGTTTGTTGTAATAAAATTTGTTATACAGGAATTTTGCTTTTGTTTTAGTCACTCCTTTATCTTCTTCTTTCGTCTAAACCTACTCATTACTTTAGCGCTACTTAAGCTTATTCTACCCCTTTATAGTCTTTTATGAGATTACCTTTGCCTTTCTTAGCTTTATCCGTACTTTTGTTCGTTTAGCTGTAACTGTGTCTACACTTTATGTTATTATATTTCTTTGATCTTTCAGTTTGATAAGTTTTCATATAATAGAATTCTCTATACAGGTATTCAACTGCATTAAAAAATAAAAAACACTATTTTTAAGAATACTGTACGATTTGATATAACAAATTTGATCATGACGCATTGTGAGGGCGTACACTTATCAATTATTAGCCACTTCAGAAATCAAGAGCTCTATGTTTTTTTAAAAGCAAATAAGAACAATTCCGGGATCATTCTGTCAAACGCTTAGGCTTAAGTAGGATATGATCGTATATTAAAGATTATGGGAGGGTAGGAACGGTGGGGGTAGGACAGGGTTGTTTAATATACAACGTAGGGTGAAGTACGATAAAGTAGGGTAGTGTGGGGCAGGTATTTATGAAATAATGAAAAAGTTTTTAATTTTATGAAATTGTCATGTTTATTCAAAAAATAGAAGTTAAACCAACTTGTTATGTTCAAGATATGCTTAATCGACACCTTGAATCAGCTATGACAAAACATAAACATAACGTGAATCACCGCAGCACGGTAGATTGTTCCACAATGTGATTAACAAAGAAACCGCATTTTAAACATTTGCAAAGCTTAACAGAAACATGAATAACATAGTAGTTAAAGTGCATATTTGAGCAGTGGTTTTGAATGAAAACCTGCCTCTTGTCTTGCAGATCCCCCTTGCCTTTAGGTTAAACTGAAATTGATTTCTGAAGGCAGATAAGGGGGGGGGGGGGGCAGTAAATTAAGAAGGGAAAAAGGGGAAAGAGGGGGAAGAGAAGAAATTAGTAGGAATCAAGGAGGTAGAAGGGGGTAGAAGAGGGTAGAGGGAGTATAAGGGGGTAGAAGGGGTAGAAGGGAGTAGAAGAGGGTAGAAGAGAGCAGAAGGAGGTACAAGGTGGGTAGAGGGGTAGAAGAGGGTAGCAGGGGGTAGAGAAGGTAGAAGGAAGTGGTAATACAAAAATGTTTTACATAGTCGTTAGTAGAGTGTAGTATGTTTTTTACAGTGTATGAAGTACCTTATTAACGTTTAAAAAGCTTACAGCGTTTACTAAAAAGTTTAATTATGCAAATCACCATGACAATGTATTACACCAAGCCATACGGAATGTGGTACGTATGGTTTCACCTTGGTAAATGTAAAAACATGTATAATGTAGAAAGTCTCTAGAGCATTAGATTATTATATCTAAAACTTTACATTATGACATGTATATATTTACATTATTACCTCATAACATTGAATTATAACATGCATATCATTACATTATAACCTATAACACTTAAAACACAAAAACAAACCGAAAAAAATTAAGCATATATAGATCTAATTACCGGCCAATATCATATTTCACTGCGCCTATAATGTGAAGAGATTGTTATGTTTATAGATGTCATTCGTCATGATTAGAAGCGGAACAGACAAAATTAGTGCAGGTGTCAGCCAAAACCTATCACTTACCTCCCTTGTTTTGATACTTTTTATAAACTAAACTAAACACTATTTATCAAAGGCTATATTATACTAGTGTGTTAGAGTTGTAGTAAAATGATTAGAGTTGTAGTAAAATACGCCAGAAGTAGGTGTTAGTTATAACAGACTGTCGTGCAAAGAAATCTGTTTTACGGTAGTTAACAAGTCATAAAACCTACGATCAAGATTGAAAGCAAGGAATGCCTTCAGAATTTTGTTTGCCTTGACCTGTTTTGCCTAGCCTCAACCATAGCTCTACCCCTGACATTCGTCCGAGTCTTAGCATTAGTCCTAGTTGTACTTGCCTTTGCCTTTGCCTTGCCTTGTCTTGTCCTGCCCTCCATTGCTTTGGCTTGCATTCAAACTTGGTCGAACTTCATTTATTTTCAAAAGTAATGCCAACTGCTTGTTTACAGTGAAGTTTTCAAAATTAAATTTAACTCTTACATTAATTGTATAAGAAATTTAAAAAATTAAATTTTCTGACTAAAGTCAACGGCTTTGCCTTCTCTTGGCTTGCCTTTTCTTGCCTACATCATAGTTTTACTTCCCTTATTTTAATTTTTCCCTTTTTTTTTGATTGTCATTCCTCATTTCCTTACTCTATTACCACCCCCTTATCACTTGCATATCATCATCCAAATCTTTTTGTTTTCCTATCATTTTCTCATATCATACTTCATATATATCATACTTTTTATATTTACTTATATATCATCCTCCCCATTCTTTCCTCATTATCCATGGCCATTCGTCGCAGTTTCCCACACCCAATGAGATGAATATACTTGAGTTTGCTGTCAACAACATTATTGGCCCCTAATCCCATGATTACATCCCAATTAGAGTCAAACATAGACCCAGTACGAGTAGTTTGTTAACCGAGACGTGTAATATTTCCCCTTTTTCTCTCCAGTCCATTCTGCGTCCCGCCTTGAAAGCTCCCCCCCCCTCCCAACGGTTTGCTTCACTTTCGTTTCATTGGTCCAATATCAAGATACGGAAATGCCGCGCGGTTCTGTCCCTTCATTAGTAAGTGTTTTTTTCCACATTTTATAGCCAAAACAACACAATGGTCACTCGAAAAGATTCGCTGGTTTTAGTCCAGTAAATCTCTTGTTGTTTACAGAATTTGACGGTGATTCATACCTAATATAATATAAATTACTCCAAGTCATGTGTTTGTTCGATTCCAAAACAGAAAATTGTGGTTTCTTTACTAAAACATTCTTATATATTTACTTTGGAAAAGCGTTTTAACCACAAGACATTAATGTTTCACAATGCAAATAAAAAAATGAAATTTAAGAACGTCCAGAAAATGTGTCATGGGAATATGTCGTTGGTGCGTCAAAATACTAAAAAATCTTAAAAGTATCATTTTATTAGCCATAAAATAGCAATCAAAAACGGTTTACTAGTTTTAGTAAATTTGAACGTTACACACAAAGTGTCATCATGACAGCTTTTTTTCAACATTAATACATGTACAAATAACAAAATAACTAAAATTGTATTTTTATAATGATTAAAATTTATCAAAAATGTTTTTCTTTGAACTTTTACTTATTTAAAAAATCATAAACACTCATCATATTGACAGCATTTTTAGACACAACAGAAAAATTAATATTTCAAAAATAAAATATTTTTAAAACCTAAAACCATGTAAAACACATGATTTTAAAGCCAAAATATATTGAAATTATGTTTTTTATATTATAATAAACTTATCTTTATCTGATTTTAACATTTTATTGATTTCAGACACTGCCAACGGACCTAAAAATGGCCGATGGTTTGGAAGATTTGGAAGCCGGAGATTCCGATCGGCGAATTGATGCGTGTGGCTTCAGAAGGCAGCAAGTAAGTTGAGATTTATATTTATCTTATTCTTTATTTAGTTTGACATCTTCAAGAACAAGTTTCGGGATGCTTTCGACGAGCACGGACATGAGAAGTTGGCCAATCTTGTGTTAGATGGCAACTTGAAGAAGGATGTCGTAAACACGATGCGACGTCTTCAAAGAGCCAAGTTTACATTGGAGAAGTAAGTTTTTAATATGGATGAAAGGTTTTTAATGTTTTTGAGAGTTTAGCTTAGGAAAGAAGGTTGTTTTTTTATGAATTATGTTGTAGTACGCATCAAAGATAGGGAAAACTCGTATTTTTGATATAGCTTTTTTCAAAATGTGTTTAGAAGTTTTAAAGTTTGTGCAATGTTAGATTATAAAATTTTTTAGTTAATAACGTAAAAAGCGGGTTTAATTTAACCTTCTCATTTTCAGTATGAATGAACAAGATGCTGTGTCCGGCCTAGTGAAGAAAATCTCAGAATTGTACGATGAAATTGGTCGTGCAACAAAAGGAAGTGATGAATTTACGGTCAATAACATCAAACTCCCAGATTACGATGATACAGCTTTCGATTTGATATTTGGAAGTTCAAACAAGGACGAAGAGGTATCAATATCGAACGTTCAGGAGTTGAACCACGCCTTTTCCGAGAAGATCAACGAGGTTCTGGGAGCTGCACAACTACTGCTAAATGAGTACGACGAGCTGATGGAGTATTTGAAAAGAGGTGGGGTTCCTTTGTCTCCATTGCCTAAAGGAAAATAGGGTTTTAAGACGTTGTGGATGAGCAAAATGCGTGTTTTTGGCATAAAAAGTCATTTTTTGTAATTATTGACAATAGAAATAATAACAAAATGTTGTTAGGTATGATATTGTTGAAAAAGGTAAATAGATAAATTAAACAAGGTAATCATATTAGCATATTCTATCATCTTTTTGACCAAAAGACCTAAAACATCATTTTCAGTTATCCAATGTAATTAAACGAAGATAATACTAAAGTTTATATAAATTGATGTATTATTAATGTCAAGATTCAGTTCTCAAACCTACCAAAACCTCTCTTTGTTGTAAGTCTGGTAAATCCGTTGGTTATCATATCTATTATATTGTAGTAGTTAGTAAGGTGTTATTTATGATAATTAAGGTTACATATGTTACTATGTTTCAAACTGTTGTAAAATTATGAACATATAGATGAATAAAAACATGGATAATAAGGACATTTTCCTAATTTTTAAACGTTTAAAATATTCTTTGCACCGTGCAGTCGGTTTTTTGCAATGTGCAAAAGTCTAAGAACTTTTGGAAAAATATGGACTAAAAATAAAAAATAGTAAAGAGAATGATATATATAATGGCATGGACTCCATTTTGGTACAATATTTCAAAAATGCTTGGTCAGTTTTCATGGCGCAAAAAGTTCTATTTTTTGCACGGTGCAAACTTATAAACCTTTTTTTTCAATAACAACGTCAAATATGATCTCAAAAATCAAAAATGCCAAGCAGTGTTTTAAACGCAGTTTAATGGTCAGTATGATTGAACGGTAACCGAGGGCTACCCTGGTGGTGGTTTGCCATACATTGTCAGTTGGAAGTCCTTCTTCTCGACTTTGGCGTTCGGGAATTTCGGTCGAAGCAGCTGAAAAAAAAATCATATTCGTTTTAGCTTTCGGCAAGTAAAATCTTTCGTAGCGGGAATTTAGTTGGGCCCCGGGGCTTTGGTTTTGGTCCCTGACCTCGGGCCCACTGTGCAAGCCCGGCCTCTTTCACATTGGATTTGAATTGGCCCAGCCCGTGCCTAGTGGCCCTTTTCAGGTTTAATGATAGTCCATTTTATGACATTTGTGACTTACTTCGAATGAACATTGCAAGTTCTTGCTGATTTGCATGACGGCGGCGGCATTGTCGAATTGGCCACAGTAATGTGGGGCCGAGAAGATGGTGACCAGTTTGCGATTGGCGAAGAACTCGTAGCCGTCTTGAACTACCTGAAAGTTTATAAAGTTATATTTAAAAAATATAATCAAAAAATTTTGTTTTAATTTGAAAAATTTTGTTTCGATTGGAAAAGTGACCAAAAAACGATTTTTTTTTGCCATAGCCCTACCTGGTGAGCCCGACAAATCAAATCCAAGTCGTATTTTTGGCAGACGGCCTTGATAACTTCTACTCCAAATGTGCACGATACTCCGCGGATACTGTACTTGAACTTGGGCGTGGCTATGTCGGGGTCGGCCCACAAAAGATCCAGGGGCAGTGACGGGTTTGGAGGGTCCTGAAGTTTTTAAATTAGCCAAAGTGGCGTAGGGTCGAGTAGGGCAAGACAGGGCTTCGCAGTGTAGAGTAGGGTATGATACGGTAAGGTATAGTAAGATAGGGTAGATCAGGCCAGGGTAGGCGTAAAATTCAGGAAATCCTACTGTAACATAAAAAAAATCAAACCCACCGGCAATGGCCGAATAATTTCCTTGAGAATGCTCAAATCCTTTCCATTGTACAAGTCCTGACTCAGTCCACCGTGCATGCACAGAATCCGACTACCGACCAGCGCCGTCAACGGCATACAATTGAAAATGTCCTGGAAGGTGTTGTACAACTTCACCGATCGGTAGCGTCGATTCAGCTCTTCGTAAAAGCCGTAGATTCGATTCACCAATTGGGTTTCGTGATTTCCGCGCAACAAAAAAAAGTTTTGGGGGTATTTGAGTTTGAGGGAGAAGAGGAACAGAATCGTCTCCATGTTCATTTTGCCACGGTCAATGTAGTCGCCCAGGAAGAGGTAGTTGGTCACGTTTGGGAAGCCGGTCTGAAAATTTTTTGTTTTCCAATTGACTTCTGATAAGCTATAGGCATCATGACTAAATTTTAGTCATAACTTTTGTAGTTATGCAAATTTTAAAATATTAGTTACTTATTCAGAATCAGCATAAAATTCAGGTCTAGAAATGTCTAAAAAATATTTAAAACCGTGATGATTCGACATAAAAACGTTATAGTATAGTGGTAATGGGCCCGACTGTTGCGCGAAAGAAGGAGGGTTCAAATCCCGCTCAATAGAAATACGTTTTATTGCTTTTTTAAGTGAAACAGTTAAACGGAAATGTGTTAACTGTCCAATATGTGAACTGTTTTCGCTATTAGTGCTAATGCTACTCTTATTTGGTATTTTTGTTTTGAAAAAATTGGGCATAAAAGGTAAAATTATTAAAAAAACGCTAAATTTTCGCCAAGTTTAATGAAAAGACGTATAAAATGCATTTTTAAATTCAATAGATTTAAACTTTCAAAATAATGTCACAATTCCAAAACCTACTTTATGAAAGATCCGCATCAGATCGTTGAACTGTCCGTGAATGTCGCCACAAACCGTCAACGGCGTGTCCAACTCGAGCATCATCGGCTGTTCCATGAAGTGCTCTTTGCACGCGGTCAACAGCTCCATAATGTCGACTTCGCCGATGAACGTACTCAAACCGGTGCCCTTCTTACCCACGCCCATCAACTGCTCCAGCAGATAGTCCACATCGATCTTGGCCGCCATCCGCCAACGACCGATCGCTTTTCAGTCGATTTTTGTCGAAATGAGATAATGTTTTTGGAGAATTTTTGAACTTTGGGTAGTTTTTTTGGTATAATCATTTTGATTTTTTGTTGGGTGTCATATTTTTGGTTGGGAGTTGCTTTTATGTTACTGTAGGGTAGGATAGGACGGTACGTTAGCGTAGAATAAAAAAAGGTATGTTAGGGTAAGTCAAGGGCCGGGTATTATAACGTAGGGAGGGATACGGAAGGGGTAGGGTAGAGTAGGGTAAATTAAGGTAGGTCAGGGTACGGTAGAGTATGATATAGCAGCGAAGAGTACGGTAGGATAGGGCATGGTAGGAGTAAGGCAAGGACTGGTAAGCCAAAGGTAGAAATGAGAAGCGGTCTGGGCCCAATTTTTAGATCAAAATTTTGCTTAGGCCCGGCCCGACCTAAATTTGGGTCAGGCCCGGCCTGTTCTTTATGTCTAGCCAAAAAAAGGTATGGAAAGGGTATGACATGGGTAAGGCTAAGGTATAGCAGGAGTATGGCATGGGTGGAGCAAGGTTAAGGAAAGGGTAGAGCAATGATATGACGAGGCTATATGATTGGGAAGTTTAAATACAAAGTAAAACAGATATTATAAGAATAGGGCAAGCTAAGGCAAATAGGGTTGGCCTTGAGTAGGGTAGGGTGGGTTACCTAATATAAAAAATCTACAACGAATCGTTTAGATTTGTAATTGATTGATGATAACTGTCTCTAAAATAAACATTGATGAGCTGTAAGAATTTAAAAAATGAAAAAAAGTTTCTTTGAGAAAACATGTTACATACGATTCAAAACGTTTGTTTTCAGAACTGATTCTATTGACGGGTTTAATCACATTGCTTTTTAAATTTAAAACTTTGGTTTTTTTAATACCTTCCGGCCATTTTCTTCACAAAACTTACGACAGGACAGGGCAAGACAGGGTGGGTAGAGTAAGAGTGCTTATTTATTTTTCAACTTTTTAAAGCCAGCAAAACAATCAATATTTGCGTTTCGTCTTAGTTATTAATAATATAAAACCGCGAGCTAACACGAGGCTGGTGATGGATTGTTGTATAAATATTTTTCTTTAGAATTCAATCACAAACCAAGCCATTCCTTCCATTTTCGGTCTTTAAATTGTTTATTTTGCAGGCGGGATAAAACAACATGTTTACGCGTTTTTCATTAAAAAATTTGCAATTCGACGGTTTTGTTTAGATATATTTGTTATTTTCACTAGACGGGTCATTTTTTGTTTTTTTGAGCAAGCTGCTGGGCTAAGATTAGGGGTTGGGAAGGGCTAGGTCTAATGCTGGGGCTAGGGTCAGGGACGTCGCTACAGATTTTCTCTGGGGGAGGGGGGAGGCCGAAAAAATTTTTTTCGTCCACAGGTAAGCTATCTGTAAATCAATTTTCCAAAAAATTTTTTTTGTTTTTTTGCGTACAGGTACCTTACCTGTGGAATTTTTTTCGGATCGGCTCTGGGGGGGGGGGGCTCCTCCCCCAAACGACGTCCCTGGCTAGGGTTATTAGAAAAAAAGGGGATGGCGGGTGATTTTGGCTAGAAACGAAAAAGGCATTATCGCTAAAGCCTGAGGGTGAGAGCAGGATAGTTTTTTTTGATTTTACATTTTTTTTAAATTAAAATTTTTATGTTTATATTTAAAAATACTTTTTTTAGTGAAATGGGTTCTTGGTGTGCTGAAAATCTTCGAGACGTTCAGGTAGGTTGATCATGATCTTTAATTTACATTTGAAAGCTATTTTTGCAAATTTTTGAATTAAATTTTTTCTCACTGTTAATACCATCATAAGATCAATGTTCTAGGCCTGGAAAGATGAAGGACTACCCACAACAACAGTTAACAATGAATCAGCCAAGTTGTACGATGCTGTTCTACGACAATTGGTATCATGGATTGATTGTGAACAAGTTGGAGGCTTGATGAAGTCAATGGAGGACTTGCAGAAGGCTGAACCTGAGTCTGGTAAGCAGTTGTAGGACGACAGTTAAATGGGTTTCGTTTAAAGTAGACATAAGATAGGATAGTCTAGGGTTGGCTCGAAGAAAGAATAGAAGGAGATGGGATGCTAGGATAGGGCAGAGTAGGGTAGGGTAGGGTAGGGTAGGGTAGGGTAGGGTAGGGTAGGGTAGGGTAGGGTAGGGTAGGGTAGGGTAGGTCAGGGTAGGGTAGGGTAGGGTAGGATAGGATCGGATAGGGTAAAGTAAGGTAGTGTAAAGTATATTCTCCTTAAACCTATCGTACTATAAACGAATTTTCAGTACTAGCCCGATGTCTACTGTATGGTATAGAAGCCCTCGGTTCAAACACTTCAGTCATCAAAAACAACGAATTCAAGCAAAACATAGACAACCTTGTCAACGATGCACATAAGTATGGTAATTCAAGAGAACAACAACATTCAGAAGCAGTCAAGTGTTTTGCTTATGGTGATATGAGTAAAGCGTGCAGTATCTGGGAGGACATTCTAAAACAATATCCGAATGATTTGATGGCGATCAAGTTTGCTCATGATGGATACTTCTTTCAAGGTGATGCCAAAGGCAAATTGACTAGCGTTAGTCGAGTAATCGACAAATGGGACAGTAGTAAGCCTTGTTATGGGTATTTATATGGAATACAGGCTTTTGGCTACGAAGAGAATCTGGATTATGAAAATGGAAAGAAAAGCGGATTCAAGGTGATTATATAAAAAATTTAAAAAAATTAAATTTTGATTTAAAAAATTAAAAAATACTTTAAAATGATTTTTCAGGGTTTAGAATACAATAAACAAGATGCTTGGTCAACTCACGCTATTGCACATTGTCATGAAATGTTAGGAGAGTATGAAGACGGAATCAAGTTTATGGAGAGCACGGTCAACAACTGGGAGGTAAGTGTTAATAACTATTTTAACAATAGGGTAGGGCCAGAATGGATAGACAGGGTACAATAGAAAAGAATGGTCAGAATTATAGTAAATTATTATAGCATCCTATGGTTCTGCAACATAAGAAAAAGTTAGAAAAGGGTAGGGTACGATAGAAAACGTTAGAGCAGACTAAGACCGAGTTGGACAGGGTTTGGCAATGCAATTTGGAAGGGGAGGATACTATACGATAGGGTAGGTTAGACTAGGGTAGAATACGGTAGGGTTGGGCAGAGCTGTGTAGGGTAGGATAGGACTGGGTAAGGCACGACGTGCTGGCTTAATTTAGGACAGGATTTTTAACTTTTTCATTTTTAGCCATGTTGGATGATAGCATGCCATAACTTTTGGCACAACGCCTTATTTTACATTGAAAAAGGGGACTATGAATCAGCGTTGACAATATACGATGAGTAAGTATAAGATGCAATAAAATCATAAGAAAACTGGTTTTTACTATATGTGTACTAATGACTCTGACTTGTTTATGGATCAGAAATTTTACAGTTTTGAAGAAATTTTGTATTTTTTTTATGATTCAGGCAATATTTTGCTTTTTTTTACAGTTTTTAAGTGTTTTCGAGTTTAAAATAAAGGATTGTTTAAAAATTTTTATCTGTATAATATTGTCTGAAATGTAGTTTAACTATTTTTACTTGTATAATTTTAAAAAATCTATTTAAACTGCCATTTTCAGACAAATAGGACGTCGAAGTAAATCAGGTGCAATGTTAGACTTGGTGGATGCTGCTTCTTTGTTACAACGATTAAAAATGGAGAAATTTGATGTAGGAAAAGAACGTTGGGCGTTTCTGATTGATCTACTTGAGCCACATCATGATAATCACACATTGGCATTCAATGATGCTCATATTGCTATGGTATATTCGAACTGCGATGATTCGAAAACAAAAGAACTACTGGACAGCATCAATAATTTTGAGTAGGTTAAAAAATATTGGGCTACAAGTGATAAAATTTTTAATTTTACATTTTTTTGCGCTTTGAACGAAATGTCACAAAAAGTACTGGAAAATTAGACGAAATTTAAAGTATTGAAATTTGCTAAAAAGTTTAAAAAAATTTAATACTTTAATGGAATGACATGCAATTGCAACGTATTTTACAAAATTTTTGATTTTTGGCGTGGTTTAACAATAAAAATCAATAGCAGTTGAACGAAGTGTCACTTTAGATAAATTTTTTTACTGTCAAAATAAAATTAATTGACGGTAATGTAAGCTTTAATTGGAAAACTAACAAGGTATTATCTATTTGAGTTGACGTTGCGAAGTGACACAAAAATTATTGGAAAACGGGATGAAATTTCACTTTTTTAAAACCATTTTTCAAAATTTTTTTTTGGATTTTGAGGTTTTTTTGATCAAGCTTTATAAAAAAAATTACTAGTGATTCGAAAATAATAAAGTATTTTTAATGGTGCGAAGTGTCACAAAAATTATTGGAAAATTGAACGAAGTGTCAATTTTTCAAACTTCAATAAAACTTAATTTTTTAATGAAAACATTTTTTTTCGTATTTTACTTCAATTTAGCTTAAAGTATTGCATTTTTATTTAAAAAAGTTTTTTTTGATTTATATTTTTTAAAAGAATTGATCTAAATCATGCTATATTACAGTAGCCCATCACAACAAGGTAGAATCGTCGGAAACGTGGGTCGTATAATCTGCGAGGCGGTCGACAGTTACAACGCCGACCGTTTCAACGAATGTTTTGACAAGTTGTTTCCGATTCGACATGACATCTATACGATCGGCGGAAGTAATGCACAAAGAGATGTCTTCAATCAAATCATTGTACGGTCGGGCCTTATGTCCACGTCCGCGCAGCATAATGAGCTTGTAAAGTACGTTAATTGGGGGTGTTTTTTTTCAAATTTTAGTGTGGGGGTGAGGGTAGATTAAAATGAGGTGTTTTAGGTATAAAAAGTGACAGGGCCGGATAAAAAATTTAGGTTTAAAAGAAGCTATGACAGGGGTAAAGCAATTTTTTCCGAAGGGGGAAAATTGTATTTAAGGAGGGGGATAGAAAGAGTAAGAGAGTTTTTTTGAGAAGGTGGATTCGTGCATAAAAATTTTTTATTGGGTGTTGGTGATGGGTGATTAAACAATTTTTTGATTGGGGAGTAACGTGGGGGTCGAGAGTCTATTTATTATAAAAAACTTTTTCAACTTTCAGAACAGCAATAGAAGAACGGCGAACTTTAAAAGTGCACTCTCCATTAATGGACAGGATTGTACGACAATTTTTAAAATAACTTTCTATGACATTTCCTTACCTTCAAGCATAATTATCAGATAGTAAAGTCATTGAATTTCAGTTCATGTTTGTTCAGAATAAGGCTGGAGCTAGAACTTATTACACAGCTCTAGGCTAGGGCTAGATTAATAATCGGACTAAGGCTAGGGCTCTAGGCTAGGATTAAGTAAGGCCAGGGCTCTAGGCTAGGGCTCTGAGCTAGAACTTTGGGTTTGGCTTGGGCTTTGGGCTGGGTTTCTGGTCGAGAGTTGAGGTTTTGGACTAGGGCTCTAGGCTAGGGCTTTGGGCTAGGGCTCTGGGCTAGGACTGTGGGCTAGGGTACTGTTCTAGGACTCTGGGTTGGCATTCTGGATTTGGCTAGAGTTTGGGCTGAATGGTGCAAAAGCTAAGACTATGGCAGTTACTAGGGCTCTGGGCTAGGAGCAGAGAAATTGTATGGTAAAGTTAAATTTTAAAATATTTTAATAATGCAATCCTCAAGAGATGGTAGTATTTAAACTTCAACACGAACTTTCTACTTTAATATTTTCACTTTTTCAATTTGGGTTAATAACTCCGCCAAACTCAATTTCAAGGGTAATTTTCGGCCGCTGAAAATTTTATTTTTTAAATATAACCAGGAATGGAAAAAAAAATTAATTTGAGCTGCTAAAAATAATGATGGGCGGGGTCATTTTTTTGGAGGGTTGAGTGAAGTACTTTTTTTTCCAAGAATAGTTTTTTGAATTTCAAACAGAGATTCGAATTCCAATTAAAAATTTTTTAATATCCCCGGCTGTTAATGCAGAGCCGTGGATGTCTGAAGCCGCTAATCCGGACATTTTGTCAAAATGAACTTGATGGGAAATGAAATTTTTTTAATTTGAATTTTGAAGAATTTTTGAAAAAAGCGAGCGGTCGTGGAAATGAAAAAAAATAAAAAGCGACCGGTAAATTGCATTGAATTGCTTGGCGGAGAGCGGTCGTTGTTCGAATATGTTGAGGAACATACGTTAGCAAATGTAAGTATGTTTTCTGATAGTATTTTGTGTATAGTACTGAATTTTGTGATGATTTTAGAGTTTTCATTTTAAAATATTTTTTACAGGCGTGGGAAAAATCAAAGGGTGTGTTAAATGGAGTAAATTTTAAGGCGTATCATACTCAAAATAGTTTCAGGATTCATGCTGCGTTTCAATAGAAAAATCAAAAAGATTTTAGAGTTTGGAAACGTGCGAGGGCCGCAGGCCCGAGCATGTTAGTTTGAATAATATAAAGCACATGTAATTGCCATGTCCGGATCAAAAGCAATGCGCGAGGGCCACAGGCCCGAGCTCATGATATGGTATCTTCAAATGAAAATTAATTTTATTGATTTATAACAACAAAAATCAAAAGGGGCGTGCGAGGGCCGCAGGCCCGAGCCCTTGATTTTGCATATTATAAAATGTACTGAATTTGTCATAATGTAAATGAAATTGCAATGTTCAGATCATAGGAGGCCCAAAGGGCCTCCGTTGATCTGGTTTGATTGTAAATGTGTATTCGAATACACCCTCGATAATTGGTTTTACCTTGCCATAACCTGAGCGATGTGCGATTAAATAATCTTTCGGCGAATATCTTTAGGTGTCGTTAAGATGTTGTTTCAGCGGCGTTTAACACAATGGCGCCTCATTTACATATACCTCGAATCCATTATGCGGCTCTTCTTGATCTCGATCAGTTCCGTTTGATCGGATTTGAAAAAGAAGTTTCTCTAACGATTTACCTTGATGGATTACATGGTAGAGGGCTCACAAATAGCTATATCGTATTTTATCGTTATTATACGGTATTTTTTAAGCATAAAACAGAAATTTAAACTCTCAAAAAAGTCTTGTCGCTAATTTACATATACTCGTACGTTAATAAACGACAATACTTTTTATGAGTTGGGTATGGATGTTAGGGTAGGGTAGGTTAGTGTAGGGTAGGACAATCTTAAATAACCGTCACGGCCATTAATTTGCTTACCAGATGGATTATGGCCATGTTAGCATAATATCGAGATCCGGGGTCATCTCAAGAGACAATACCAATATAATGACAGCTGATGTAATTACCTGACCTCGCTAGTGTAATATTCGAATTAAACGGAGAGTTATGAGGATGCTAATGGGCAATATGTTTGTTTTTGTTAGGACCATGTTAATTTATGGGTTGAGAAGGGAGGAGGATTGAAGATACGGTAGGACCAATCTAGTCTATTCTTTTTTAAATTTAAAAATTTTAAAAAGAGTTTTAGAAAATCTGGTTAATAGGTATTGTAGACAATACTGTGTAGCATATTTTGAAGAAGTTTTGTTAAGGTTTGTTACTTTTTACTAAATTTACATATATAAATGGCCAGATACCTAAAATTTCAAAAAAAACCTAAATTTTTTTTAAATTTTAAATTTCTTAGGTCATTTTTTTAAAATTGGATTGATAGCTATTGCAGGGCATACACAGGCGTACATACTCTATCAATTTTGTTATAATATGTTGTTTTCTAAAACACTTACAACAAAAAATGGTATAAACACCTAAAACTTTCTAAAAAAATTCAATTTTTAAGGAAAGACGCCCAAAAACAATATATAACTCTACTTTATTGTCGAATACATAAACTCTGTGACAGTTATAAATACACGCATGATAGTGATATTCAAATGATAAGAAAATATTTACAAAATATTAACATCGAGGTTACAAATGAGATCATTAATCGGCAGTTGGGACGGTTTAAAGGCACTTCGGTGGGAAAGAAAGACCTAAATTGACATTATTTATGTTACATATAATCAAATAAGTCTTGTACTATATAGTACGTAGACTGTTGATTGTATGTGACATAAAAAATGAAGAATTATATTATGATATAGCACTGGGAATGATTAAAAATGACACAAAATCGACGGTTTTTAGCCAACTTTAGCAAAAAACGAAGATTTTGGAACGGTACGGTGGGTTTGAAGCCGTGTGACGGTTGTGTAGCCAAACATTTTTGATTAAAATTTTGGCAAAACATACTGTAGACATTACTGTACCCATATCTACACCAAAAACCCTTCTTCTCGTTTCCTTGTCAGATTCTGAGGCGAAACACTTGACCCATGACTTGAATTAGTTAATGTGGTATGATTAGTACCAATCGATGACCTAGACAGTAATGGTGATCTACCGTGCTTCAATGTGCCAGAAGTTAGCAAATAACCCGGTCCGGCCGGATTCACACCATCGGTAGATATCGTGCAGTCTACTGGCATAGTACGATCTACCATACCTGGTAGAGTACGATCAGCTGACATACGATCGACCGATATCATACCAGGCAAAGTGCGGTCTGACATTGTACCAGCACGATCCAAGTGTACCATATGTTCCACCGGTGACATTCCTGGCAGCATAGTAGGTATGGTACAGCTTAACCGGCTGGGTGGTACTGTGTACTGTACGATACGTCGAGCATCAACATCGTGGACTCCGATTTTGACTAGATCAGCGTATGTGGCATCTTGAAGGCGGTCTACAGTAGTAATACCGTTACGAGTGAAGATTTCCATGTAGTGAACTAGGTTGTGTAGTCTAAGGAAGTTTGGTAGAGATAGTACTGGTGGTGCTGATAGAGGAGGAGAAGGTCGGGGATGGTTTAGAGTTGATGAGGCTTCTGGTACCATTGTGTAGGAGCTGAAATAAAATTTTTATAAAATTTGAAAGATTTTATTTTAACTCAAACTTAAAAAAAAAATTCAGTTTTAGTCTAGTACATCTTGAAAAAACTTACATTTCCTCCTGAACCTGATGCAACAGTCCAGACAGCCTCTGAACCAAAATCTCAAAGCTCGGCCGTTTGTGCCGTTCCTGTTGCCAACACTCCAACATGAGTTCGTGAAGAAACACCGGACAATCCATTGGTCGAGGAAGCCTGAATCCGCCCTGAACCTCCTGTATCACCTTATGATTCGTCCAATCCCAATAAGGCCGCTCCCCAAACGAGCAGATCTCCCACATTACCACGCCGAAACTCCAAACATCAGAAGCGGCCGTATACTTGTTGTGAGAGATGGCTTCTGGAGCTGTCCATCGGATCGGAATCTTGCCACCTTGAGTTGTGTACTCCTGTTCGGAGGAGGCTCCAACGCCACGGCTCAGACCAAAGTCGGCAATCTTACAGGTCAGGCGGTCGTCTACCAGCACGTTCCGGGCTGCCAAGTCCTGAAAATAGTCACAATTAAAGTTGAAATAATCAAAATAATTAAAAAATCACTATTTCTAATTATTTTGTAAAGGTTTTTGCAATAAGACGAAATGTCGATAAATTATTGGAAAATAAGACGAAATGTCAAGATTGTATTGGAAAGTGCAAAACTAGATTCAAAATTACCAAAAATCATTAAAAATTACTATTTCTATCATCTATCACTTTTTTTACAATAAAGCAAAATGTCAAAAAAAATTGGAAAATTTGACAAAGTGTCAAATTTTTATTGGTATATAAAAAGTGCCTTCAAAACGTAAAAATAATATTTTAAAATTCAAAGCTGCCATTATAACTCACCCTATGAACATAACCCTTATCAGTCAAGTATTTCATTCCACAAGCCACGCCGTGCATCATTTCGATCAATTGTGGCACAGTGATCTTGCCATTATCGTTATCTCTCAAGAACTTGTCCAAACTCCCATTCAACATGTATTCCGTCAATATCATCACAGGCTCTGATTTGGTAACAACTCCGACAAGTTTTATCACGTTTTCATGCTCAAATTGGCCCATAATCGAGGCTTCGGCCAAAAAATCCGCCTTGGCCTTGTCGCCACTGCCCGGCAACAAAGTCTTTACTGCCACAATTTGTTGCACCACTCCACCGTACACGTTTTCCACCTTTAAGCGACCGGAACAGACTTCTCCAAATTCGCCTGCACCGATCGTTCTGGTTACTTCAACGTTATCTGGTGGGATTTCATTGGTAAACTCGGCTAGGGCGTCTCGAGGGTTCTCGTATGTTGTTGGGTCGACGTAGGGTTTGTAGCGGTTTACAATGCCAGAAGAGCGCGGTGAGGTGGTGTAGGCTGGGATCAAGGGGACGTTTACTAAAAAAGAAGTCTACAATTGTAGGATATAACCAAATGAAATAATTTTTGTTTCGTAATTTTACGACAATTTTGAAGCGAGTTATAGCCTTCGCCGATATCTGAACGCGTCCGCCGGCCTCCGCTGAGCCTTCGCCGACATTGAAAATCAGTCTTTTCATTTGAAAATAGATAAATTTTATAATTCTCTTGCAAATTTCAGAGAAACAAAGCATTTTCAACTAAAAATATGTGTATTTTTGGTGAAAAATGCCTTTTTTTTAAAAATCATAAAAAATTTAAAATGCACTTTTAAAATCCAAAATTTAAAAAAATATATATATATTTGCTCTACTATCGCTGTACCAAATTTGGTACCTATAGCAATTTTTATCGCTGAATAAAAAATTTTTCAAATCCTGCAAATTTTTTGAGACACCCTGTATTAACTTTCAAACATGAATACGTTATCTTAAAACTTATGCTCCATAAAAGTATAGGTATAAAATTCTGACAAAACTACTAAACACCACAGTAAAAAACCTTACATTTCCGCTGAAAAGTATTCGAAAAGGCACTCTTCGAATTGGGTCCATAATCAGGTGTCAAAGTTCCTTGTTTATACGACTCCAGCACGTCCAAATCACTAAACTGTTTCCTCGACTGACAACTTTTCTTGTAACATATAACCATCAATCCGAACATGGTGACACTCAGTAGTACCAAAGTAGAACATAGTACCAAAAACAAGTTCTTTCCAACTTTTAATTGTTCAAACGTTGGCTCAGGAAACATGACATCATCTAGACGAGGCTCTTCGTTCACTGTAATGTCTGGTTGTGCTTGAGGTTGTGCTACACAACCTTGATTTAGTAAGTGACCTGATGGTCGATAGAAGCCTGGTAGACATGTACAGAGGACTGAAGCAAGGCGAGATGATTCGGTGTTGGCTGGGCATGGTTTACATTCACCGGAGCCGTGATCTGGTTTGAAACTGTTTAGGCCGCAGGCTGAAAATTGGTTTTTTTATTAAAATTGTTGATGTTATGTTTGAGTTTCTTGTGTTTTAAGATGTCAGAGATAATGTTACGTCTTTTTTAAATCTTTTTTTTTTTAAATTTGTGTTTTTCAAAATGACAAAAATTGAATTTTTTTGAAGTTTTTGCGTATTTTTCCCCCTTTTTTTCCATAATTTTGACTTTTTTCAACTTTCTGCCATTTCTAATCGCATGCTGATCAAAAAAGCGCCAATAAACCAATTTAATTTGACAAACTCAAAATTAGCTTCCGCGCCATTTTAATTTGGGCGCGGTTCGAAACGCTTTGAAAAGGCGTTTGGCCAATATAAAGGGTCCCCTCTCCATCAACATATCGCTAATCCGCTTAGATGTAATCGAATTTCCCGACAAAAGCGATTGTTTTCTCTGCGCCAAAAGGGCCTAATAATAATGGCAAAGTTATTAAGGAAGCGCCAAAGACAGGGCGGCACATTGTCTGCGGCTAATTATTCCCCGGGCCCATATTCCTATAATTTGATGCCCGGACACGACCTTTAATGGACTGTCTCTATGTTATGATTAGGGGGTTGGTGGTGGGACGAGGGGGTTATGGAGGTTAGATTGAGGTTCATAAGGGCATTGTAATTATAGGTAGTTTGATGTGGTTTTAGAGTGATGGGCAATTGAAATTTGGCAATGACATAAAAAAGTCAAAAAAGCAAATTTTTTTGAAAAATTTTTAAATTTTAAACTCAATTTTCAAAAAAACTGTAAATTGAATAAAGTTGAAAAGATGCACAAACACTTAACATGTCCTATCCTACATATATGTAAAAATTAAAAAGTTCAAGTTCGTATTACTGTGTACCATCATTTTAAAACGACCACCTACTGAAGCAACTTTTTTCCAAAAAATCTGGTTTTACTGCCATTTTAGGCCTTATATCTTTTTGAAAATAGTCTAAAATCGTTCCTAAAACTATATCAAATGTCCCCAGATTTTCCTACATCTTTCTTACTCCCCCCCTCCTCTTTTTTATTTTTTTACCCCTCCCGTTATCCCCCTAACTGTGTCTTTACCCCTTGCTCAATATCCCCTTGATTTGCATATTACCTTTCTCTGTTCCCTTCCTTGGATTCCCTTAACCCCTGCAAAATACCCCCCCCCCCTTCCTCGCACACACCCTCCCTCACAACCGCCCCCCCCTCATCAACCCACACCTTGCCCAAATCATGTCCCTAATTAATGAGCGGTTCGAAGGTCAAAGGCCTCTCTAATATTAACTTACGTGCACACGTGTTGGCCGCCCGCGAATAAATAAAGCCGGGATTGCATTGGCATTCCTCGGTCAACATCTGCCAACTGCCGTCGACTTTGCACAGGGCTTTTGGCGGGTCCCTTCGACCGGAAACCAGACTGGAATTGGCAATGCATTCGCCTTGAACCGAGACCACGGAATGCAGGTCGGCGCCCGGGATTGTGCGCGGGATTTGGGTTAGGGTGGTGGAGATGGCGGGACAGAGCTCGTAGTAGACCTGGAAGTGAAATTTTTGAGAGGTAAAATACGAGTCCTGGGGCTACGTGTGATTTAAAAACTCAGCACAAAAAAAATTTTTATTTAAAAACTCAAAAAAACTTTGTTAGATTGAACCAAAAGTAGCCGAACACTTTTCATTTTTTTTAACTACAAAAGTGTCCCGCTAGTATTGGTTTAACCTAATAAACTGATTCTACTCTACCTAACCTTATCCATCTCTACCCTAACAACCTTAGCCCTACCGTTTAACAAAAAAATTGAATTTTAACAAAGCATGACCTACCTTAACATAGAGAATAGAAGAGCAGCTTCCACTGTCTTTGATCGAAAAGTAGACACTACTTTCATCGAAGGCATAACTGACAGTTTGTACGAATATCTGACCGTCATCCTCATTCGGAGCCAGCGTCTCGACCAGCTTCCAATCGGTCGAATTGTGCCAATTCTGCGACGGTAAAAGTGTAGCCGGATTCACAGGATGAGCGTACAACTTCAACGTCTCCTTACAAACCGACTTGGTGGCTTGATTCGGAATGTCATGACATTTGCGCATAGTAAACTTGACTTCGAAGTATAGTCGACGACCCTCTTTTCGGTCGATTTTGGGTAACAAAAGCCAGTTCTCAAAGTTGGATTGCTCGACTACGCAGGTCGAAAAGGCTTGATGGTTGAGGTTCTTGGTCTCGCTGCGGTAGGTTTCCTCTAACCACTAAAATACGAAAGGTAATTTGTATTTAAATGGGTTAAAGTGACAAGTAATTTAGATATTTTATTCGATTCAACTAGAATTTAAGGTGATTTTGGTGGTTTAGGTAAATTTTGACATTTTTAAAAGGTTTTAGGTAATGAAGGAGGTAAAAGTCGTCAAGTAAATAAGGGTTTGAATGGTAAAAAATGTGTAGTTTAGCTTACTTTTTCGAAATTCAAAAAAATTTTTTTTTCAAAAAAAAATAAAAAATCTACCCCAAAGTATACCCTAACACAAAAAAATGTATCCCCAAACCAATGAAAATAAATCCACTCCCAATTGAAAAAAAATCCACCCCAAACCTACAAAAAATAAACCTACCCCATCCATGTCCAACGATGAAAACACATTCCAACCCAATTCGGAAGTGGCATTTAGTGTGTCCAATAAATAAACTCGTTCTGAATTACATATTAGTGGTAGTAGTACCACAAATATCGTCCAATTCCTCATTACCCACCTGATTTTACATTCGTTTTTGTATAAAAACTAAAAAAGTAAAATTTGAAAAGTTGAAAAAAATTGAAATATTGGTACAACATGTAAAATACGGACTCGGCAACATAAATTAAAATAAAGTTATCACCTCTCCCATCTCTTGATGTGAGTAAAAAAAGTATACTTTTCTTTAAACTATAATAACACCCTGTGTAGCAAATCGCCTTGCCTAGCAGAGGTTTTAATTTGTTCGTTCTGCTAAAATAAAGCTTTTCATATAAAGTAGAGCAAAGCAGAGTGAAGTTTCGTTATACAGTACAGTGGAAATCCAGTATAACGAACTCCTTTATAACAAAAATTCCGTATAACAAACAACTTTCGAATCCCCAGCTACCACTACACAGTGTATTTAAAACTCCTGTATAACGAAACTTCTTTATAACGAACAAATTTCAAGTCCCCGAGGAATTCGTTATACATTAGTTCCACTGTAGATGTAAATGCACTCTGTGCTATTAGCCAAAGATGTAAACGTTGCTTGTTATACGGAACTTTTGGCATAGGGCAATTTGTTATACAAGAGTTTCAAATTAAGTAAAAAAAATTTTTGAAAATATACCTTTCTTCCCGTGTGATTTTTTTAAATTAAAAATTTTAATTTCAAAATTTTATAAAGGTTGACCACAAATAGCATTTCCAATATGAAAAAAACTACTTTTTACCACTTCTCCAGCCCAAAACCACTCCAAAATAAACAAATTATAACAATAAGTTACCCAAAAAAATTTATAAAAAATCATTAAAATCTTTAAAAAATGCAAAAGAAAAAAAAAATTGTAATCTATAAATGACTTCAAAAAATCCAAAAAAATCAGGAAAGCTGGCTACAACATTCATAATAAGATGCATTTGGCTTAACGAGATTGCGGTTTTTGGAAAAAAGAAAAGGAAAAGCTGCGCGAACATCGCTCAACGGCAACGAAGGCGGGGCCAAGATTTGCGACAATTTTTTTGGAAGTATTTTTGGAAAATGCAACAATTTTTAATTTTTTATGTAAATAAATTTTTTTTAATTAAAAACTAAAAAAAATTATAATACATTATCCCGCCTTGCCTTGCCTTGCTGTGCCCTGCCCTAAAAAACAAATTCTAATACTCTATCCTATCTTTGCTTACCCTTCCCAACTCCTTTACATTCATTTACCTTTCTTAACCCCTTTATCTTAACTTACCCCTCCCAACATTTGTACCTTCCCTTGCGCCTCTCAACACTGCTACCTTCTCTTACCCATGCCTTTGCCCAACAATTCCTATTTCTTCACAAGTGACATTGTTTCTTCCAAGTACCCAACACTTCCCAGAAACATGTTTGGAGTGGCTTACGCAATCACACTTAATTGACGCTTAAGGTAATCGAACAAGTGCAGGTGAGAAAAGGAACTCGGCTGAGTGGAGGATCAGCGGGGTGGTTATCTCTATTATCAAGGATTGTGCGTAAAAGCTTGGCGTAAAAAAGCTATAGATTTTTGAGTTTTGTCGATGAAAAATGGCATTGTCTTACAACTGACTCTGACAAATGTAGATTTTTTAATTTAAAAGGTATTTTAGGTAACAAAAAAGCTAAAAATTGGACTTTTACTACACCGTAAAAGACTAGTACTAAAAATAATACTTTTAAAACATTGCTTTTTTAATAAAAAAATTGCAAAAAAACAAAAAAAAATTTGTTTATCTACTCCCTTATAATTTTTATACTCCTCTATTTCACCCTTTTTTCTTTTTCTTATATTCTCTTTACCTAAACTACCAGTACTATTAAGTTTATTCTAACACAAAGGCAACTTTACAGTACTATATTGTACTAAAGCTTGGTACACGATGTTTATGAGTAAAAAGCACCCCGATTCGTTACTATACCCTCTACTCCCTTCTACACTCTTTACCCTGTAGTACCGAAGCTTCATACTGAATTTGTTAAGGCAAAACCACCCCTTTTTGAAATCTACCTTTCTTAAAAATGACTTTTGATTTAACTAACAATTATACTAAATTTAACCTTATTATTCCATCCCACTGCCTTCAACGCAATACAAAATTTTAGGTACTATATAGTACTAAAGCTTGTACTCACTTTTTTTAGTAAACCCTCTCTTTCTTTCTATGATTTACTCCCCCCAAAGTATTTTTTTATTTTAGCTAACAGTACTATCAAGCAAACTTTATTCTTACCCCTACCCTTCTTACTACTTTCTTCCACACTTCCCCTTACCCTTACCTTCTTCCCCCCACCAAGAAAACTGTTGTTAGTACCATATTGTACTAAACTTATCACACTCAAACTTTTTCCCGAGTACAAACCCACGCCCAACTCGAGTGTGAATCCGGAACACGCATTTCTGCGCACCATGACCTTCCACCTGCCCCGTGTGGAAACAAAACAACATGCTCGGCTTAGAGGCGGGGACTCTCGGACAATGCTCTTCCGGGCCGCCAAATCTCCCGCGACGACCTTGTGTCCGCAAAAACAATGAATTAACTTTTTGCTGCATATTTTGGTCGATTGTGGCCGCTGATGCGTGAGAGTCGAGGCGATCCGGCATGAACTACCACTAATTTAGTGAGGGTCTTACCTTGCCAATTTGTTGCTTTTGGGAAGGTTAGGGCGGGAAAGAAGGAGAGAAGAAAGGGGCTAGAGAGAAGGGTAAGGGGGGGGGGGGGATTAAGGTAAGGGGTAGAGGGGGAGGGGGTAGAATAAGGTAGGTAGGATAGAGAAAAATATGATAAAAAAGTACAGTACGAATACAGTATCAAAAAGCAGATGCTGTACCAAAACGTAAGAATACTGTATCTGACCCCTTAAACCTCAAAATCGAAAGACAATGTTAATATGAACGTCGATCCTTACCCAGGTATAACCTCGCAATTAAAAAGGTCGCGAATAAAGTGATAAAGCGAAGTAATTAAATTAACGCGTAACTGATATAATAAAATCTTTGTTTTAAAAGCGTAAAAATCACGTTTTACCAAGACGAATCGCCTACACCGTGCTTCAAAATAAACAGTGATTCAGATGGTTGGAAAAGGTATGGGAGTTATAAGTGTAACGGTTTAGTTATGAGTGTAACGGTTTAGAAATGGCATTAAAATTTGAATTGAAAAAGTATTATGAAAAAAATCCACAGGGGGAACCAAGCTGATTTAAAAAATAAAAAAAATTTTTTTTGTGAAAATTGGAACTTTTTTAAAGTAGTTAAGATGACATTTCTACAAACCTTAAATTTTGTCATGGCGCTCCTCATACCCTCATTTTACTTTTAAAAACAAAAAAAAGTCAAATTTTAAGCCAAAACTCCCCTTTATCTGCCATTTTTTTTCTTTTTTTACGACCTAAACCAAAAAAAATTTTAAAAATTAAAAAATTTAATTTTGCAAAACCAAATTCCTCCAAAAAACAAGCAAAAGTAGGTAAGAAGATAACGTAACATTGGAATCCCCGTAGATCTTTTTTGAAGATTTGAATGAAGCGCCAGCTTAATTTCATTAAAATTACGCGAATTTTCTAATTAATCCACGTTGAATTTGAAAAAATAGAAACTTCAATGCAGAGATGGGTTGATAAAGGCGGATTCTTTAAAAATATAAAGTTTTTAGAAATTTAAATTTAAAAAATTTTAAATTTTTATTGAAAAAATTTCAAAATTTTCAGCGCGCTATGAGCCCAAAGTCTGGGACTAGAAATGGAAAACGGGCTGGGCTAAGCCTGAGCAAAATTTAGGTCGGGCCGAGCCTAGAAACCTCGGAAAAGCCCGGCCCGGCCTGAAAAGACAGGAAAAGGCCGGCTCGTTCTCCGTGTCTTTCCGAGACTTAAATCAAGGCCTTCCCCGTATGCCAGACCAAAAAATCAAGCCTCAGCCTATTTAAAATTCTAGTACAAACCCATGCCAAACTAATCACCTATCAGTGATTAAGTTTCCTTTTAGTCGAGAATCACCAACCCTCATGCCACCTGCACCATCAACAATGAATCGTAATCAAATCAAAGCGCATCGTTATCGCTTTTCCAATAAATCAAAAGTCAATTATTAGTAGGGGCGGAGGACATCAAAGCCTATCTCGGCAAACACGCGACCCCCCTTTTATGTCATAAAAGTGCCAAAACTATTGGACGTGCTGATGGTAGATTATAAGCAAAGAATTTCGCTTTCAGAAGAGGGCTTCAGCACGACATTTCGCCAAACGTTTTTGCGAGGTTTTGGATGTTTAGAGCCTTCAAAATTTTAAAAAATTAAAAAATTAAAAAAATAAAAGACGTTGATTGTAAATTAGACCTGGCAATTGGTTCGGACCGATTTTTCAGTCCAACCCGCGAACTTGAACTTGTTTCAATTGTCCCTCAGTTTGGTTTGGCACAATGTTAGTACATGGCAATGTCATAATGATATCACCTGAAAAAAACTGGTTTTCAGTGAATAAAGATCAAAATTGCAAAAATAAAAAAATATTTTAAAGAAATTTTAAAAAATCTTAAAAGCTCATATTGTCACTCCAAAGTACAGTAAAATTCACGTATATACGATAATAAATAACATAGAAAGCTATATGTAACAGAAACAAAAAAATAATCTTTTTAAAGAAGGAGGGGTAGAAAAAACTTTTTTTAAGTAAGGAAAAGAGGAAGGTAAGACAAAAGTCAAAGTATCATGCTGAGAAAATATATTATCATGCCTATTAATTTCACGCTATATCTCACCTTACATATGCATAAAATACTGTTTATGTATTATCTGAATTATGATGCATATAAACATGGCAAAGAATAATAAACCACAAGTTTGGTCGATTTTTCATCTCGACCGTAAACTTTGCGTAATAAATAAAATACGAGATTAAGATCATGTTGTAAACGCAAATACCCATAAAGAGCCTTAAAATGTTTAGGTAAGAAACGTTAAATGAGAAAGTTGGACAGAGGTTACCTTTTTGGTTACAATATAAAATTTTTAAAAATAAAAAATGTTTTTCACATTCAGAAAAAATTTTTAAAAAAATTTTTTTAAATCATAGAGTAGAAGGGGGGAGGGGGGGGGGTTGAAAGAGAAGAGAGGGAAAAAAAAGGGAGAGGGGAGAGGAGGAGGAGGAAGAAGAGAAAACAAAGAGGAGGAAGGGGAGGGAATATAAAATTGAGTCTGTCTTAAAAACCTATACCCTCCCTCTGCTAAAAAAAAATGCAAAAAAAATTACCCCACCAAAAAAAATTTTTTTTCTAGTACTGCCAGTAAAAAATCCTTTATATTCACCTCTTTACCCGTCCCCACTTTACCCTTTATCCCTTCAAATAGCCGAAAAACAAGAATTTGAATACCTCGGCCAATCAAAATAAATTAAGCCATAAATCAGCTGTTTTGTCCAATTTTTGGCCACAATAAATTTCCTCGGATTACGAAGCGAGCTGATTGTGTTGCAACAGTTGTCAACGATTTGTCATCTGGCACGCCACAAAGGCGTTGAATTAAAAAAGAGAGTATCAAATCACTTTAACACTTCCAAATGGCTTTAGGAGAAATAGGAAATTTCAAATTTAAAAAATTTGGGTTTAGGAATGGGCATAGTAAAATAGAGCGCAGAGTAGTGTAAAGTAGAGTATGATAGAGCAGATTAGGGTAGAAGGGTAGGGTATGATAGAGTAGGGTACAATAAGGTAAACCACTTTTGCTCTAAACTTCAACCTCGCCCTTCGACAGATGTATCAAGTATAATACAATGTATAACTCCCCTCACACAGTAAAGAAAGAACAATATGTATATAAATTAAACTGCCCCTTACAGTAAAGTTAAAGTAACCCACTCCTCACAGTAAAGCATTACCTTTTCCTTTCCCGTTACCTTACCCAAACGAAAGTCGAGGAAGGGGTGTCTCGTCCTTGCTCGCCCTCCTCCCGTCACCTTAATGCCGGCTTCTGGTCAGGGAAAGAAATGACCGACTCTAATCGCTTTTTGGAATCTTCACAACCTTGAAGATACCGGGCTGATAATAAACAGTCGTACCGTAACAACGTTCCACTCTGTTTTTTAGCCTCATTTTTTATCTTTTTAAGTTTTTCACCCTGTTTTAAAGTTTTGACTCATCCTAATTTGTCATTTTGTATGTTTGGTGCACTTTTTGACAGTGTAAAGTTAGTTAAAGCTTGTTGGCAATCGAAAGCTATGTGAATTTTCTAAATTAGGTAAAGCAAGATAAGGTAAAGTTAATTTCGAAAAAAATTTTAAAAAGAATTAAAAAATGTGAAAATTTTTACCCACAACTACCTTCAGCTCCACATAAAAATCACTCATCCTTCAATAACTAAAGTATTTCTGTAAAAGTGCCTTATCACTTAATAGGTTATATCATGTTACAGTTAACCATTAATTTTCTTTGTCAAAAAAAGTATTACTCATTGTTTCTTATCTATCACATTTTGGAGTACGGAAACGAAGCAATAAAACTTTTAATCATCGCAATAGAAAAACAGTAATTTCACGCAAATTATACAGAATATACGATAGATTACGATAGTAAAGGCGGGTAGAAATAGAAATTAGTAAAACAAATTCTTTTACCCCAGGCTTACTTTTTTTTTACCCCTGCCCTTTCTTCTTTTTTTTCCTCTGTCCTTACTCCCCTCTCTCCCACTTTTCAATTAAAACCCCTACAAAATCAACTCAAAAACTTAAAAATTACAGTAACCATCCCACTTAAAAGCCAAGTCCAAGTCCGACAGAACTTCCAAATCAATTGGCAATCGAATGAACAATTTCCGAACACTCAACGCATGTTTACTCAACTTTAAATCCGCGAAAGCTTGCGTTGCCTCACAATAGCCATGCCCTTGTTCTGGAATGCAAACTCATGTTCGAATTATTGTTCCGCCAGTCAAGGCTATTCAAATTAAGTGAGGTTTGCAGGCTACTGTTGCGCATTTTGAGGCTTGGATTTAGGGCTAGGTTGGTTTTTGTGGAAAAAATTACAGTAATCATTAATTTTTTAAGTTATTCAGGCTTGATAAAAGCTACAGTGACCTAAAAAATTGACAAAAAGTTACAGTAACTAAAAATTTTATAAAAAAAGTTACAGTAACTAAATATTTAACAAAAAAGTTAAAAACTTAAAAACTACAGTAATCCAATCATTTTGGAAAAGAAGTTACAGTAATCCAAATGATAAAAAAAAGTTACAGTACCCCATAAATTTTAATAAAGTTACATGTTTATCACCTTCCTTAACATTCTTAATTATCACCACCTCCCTCGTTCTACCCTCCTCACCCTACTCCCCCCCCTCCCCTGCCACATTGTCACCTACCTTCACCATGACCCAAAGCCATACATTCGCGCACAATTAAGTAAAATCACTTCCCAACAATATTCACCTTCAATTAAGACAACGGTTTAGAGGTCACAAACAAGCAAAGAATAACTTGGCTGCCTCATCCAACCTTTACCCTGCCCTTTCGCCTTATGATCAAGCAATATGGCTGAGGAAATGTCGAGGCCGGGCCGACGCGCTTGAACCTCATGAATCTTGGCCTACGATGCAAGTTTTTGAATGCCAGTTTTTGGAAATGGCATGGGTTTTCGTAGCCTTTTTGATTTAAAATGTGACTTACAAAAAAATTTTTTAACTTAATCGAAGTTTTAAAATTTTGCGATGGCTGTGTGAGGCTAAAGCTAAACTTAAAACTAAAGCTAGGACAAAGACTAAAGTTATTATTGAGGATAAGGTTAAAGCTAACAAGGAAAGTGCCCGACCTGCCCCGCTCTGATTGACTTCAAACTTTTTATAAAGAAAGATCATGTAAATATAAGATGTTCAGCAAAGTACTAAATTGCGCTCCCTAGGAAATCACAAGAAAATCGAGATTAAAAAATGATATTTTGAACTTCCCGGCCACTTGGCATTGTGTTTCAAGCTTGTAGCTTTGTCATTTTTTGACTTTTAATAATTTTTCTTTAATATACTAGTAAAAAACCTTTAAATAAACCTACATTTTTAAATTTGCAAGCGTATCTTGTCAGGAAAGCCGAAAAAGCGCTTAAAACACAATGCCAAAATTTAAAAAAAACTAAAGCTAAAACCAAGACTAAAGCTGAGACTAAAGTTAGCGCTAAAACTAAAGCTAAGTTTAAACCTAAAGCCAAGGCTACGGCTAGAAAAAAAGGCTAACTCTATGGACATGCTCAATATTAGACCTTCAACTTTACCAAGCCATAACTTTGTTGTTTTAAAAACTAAGAACATAATATTTTGTTACACTAAACGCCAAACTATGCTTATTTAAAAAATTATAATTTCATTTTTTAAAACTGCATATTAAGATCACAATAATTTTTTTTTAAAGATGTGTTTTTGAGTTAAAATTAAACCTCAATTGATAAAAAAAACCAAAAATTCTATAGGCTGTGCTTCCCTTGACCTTTATTTCTACCCTACCTTCACTCCCACACCTATTCACACCTTCACCACACTAATAAAACATTTCTGAAAAAAACAACATTTAATTTAAAAATTTTTTTTGACTTTTCTTAAATATTATAATAACCAAAATTCCCATATTTCAAATTTTCAGCTCCGGGGGTTTTTTGCACTGAAATTGACAATTTTTAGGCTTCGGCTCTAGCTCCGGACCCGCCATTTTTTTAATTTTAGCTCCGGCTCCGGAGCCCGTGAGAACTTTGATAACAACATGCTATTTTCCTATTGATTTCATTCTCAACCGTAAAAAGATTGAGCTATAAAAACTTCTTTATAACCCAACCTCTACTTTTTTATGTTCAACTCCCCTAATTAAGCCCAAAACAAACAACAATAATATTCAAAAGTAAAACTCCATATAACGCCATAAAATCTATGATTTTTTATTTCCTCTAATGGGAATGAAAGGTGCCAGAATTGGAGAAGTCAGCAGAGGTCAAAGCGAATATAAAACCGCAATAACTTTTGCGCCGAATAACTCATAAATCGCCGCTGATCTGAGAACATTAACTCTCCGTTAATTGGGATTATAATCGTTAGTGGGGCCTTGATGTTAAGGGTTTAGGCATTGGCTGCAAATTTTTTTTTTAAATAGCTAGGGCTAAGGCTAGTCTGAGAGTAAGGCTAAAGCTAAGGCTAAAGCTAAGGCTAAAGCTAAGGCTAAAGCTAAGGCTAAAGCTAAGGCTAAAGCTAAGGCTAAGGCTAAGGCTAAGGCTAAGGCTAAGGCTAAGGCTAAGGCTAAGGCTAAGGCTAAGGCTAAGGCTAAGGCTAAGTCTAAGGCTAAGGCTAAGGCTAAGGCTAAGGCTAAGTCTAAGGCTAAGGCTAAGACTAAGGCTAAGGCTAAGGCTAAGGCTAAGTCTAAGTCTAAGTCTAAGGCTTAGGCTAAGGCTCAGGATAAGGATAAGGCTAAGGTTAATGCTAATGCTAATACCAGGGCTACGGCTAGGTCAGTAAGAATAGGTGTTAATGTTAAATAAGAAAAAATAAAAAAAAGTAAAAAAAATTTCCCCCTCCTCCAACTCGTAAACTTTTAACAACTAGTGACATTTGGCGACGTCAACTCCCGCCGCTACCGATGTTTGCGCACAATCTGTGATGCAAAAGCGAAATCATCGTAAAACCGGTGCCAGCTGCCTTAATGGGATCAATTAATGCGCGCTTCTGGCCGCAAGGATGGCCGATAAACTCTCGACATACTTGCGACCGTATGTCCTGTAAGCTGTCTTAATAGCGGGAGGGGGTTCTTAATATGGTCAGGGAGAGGAGGTTGGATAGGCTGACAATAGGGTGGGGTAATGTTAGTATTAGGGTGTTAGAAGTAGTGGGGTAAGTAAAAAATGAAAACTTCATAAAAATATGTGATAGGTTAAGTAAGAAATAAGGCGTAGGACTAGAGCTGATTGTGAAGGCCAAGCAAAAGCAGAGGCCAAAGTTAGGGCTAAGGCAAAGACTGGGACTGAGGCTGAGGCTAGAAGTACAGCTCGAGCTAGGACTAGAGCTGATGCTAAGGCTAGGGCTAAAGACAAGGCTAAAGATAAGACTAAGATCCCCGTCCCTCCACTTAAAAAAATATTCCGCCCCCCCCTCCCTCCAGTAACGAAAAACCATTTTTAATTTCATGTCTAACTAACACAAAATACCCTCCCTACAACCCAAAAAAATCGAAAAAAACCCACTCCACCCTAACAAATCCACCCTTTAATGACGGTCCTCATTTACAACACATCCTCCACTTGTAACCGTAATCGCGGATCAAGAAAGATTCCCTTAATAAATCTGTTTGTCCATCCGATGCCAATCAAATATAATATAACGGCGACAAAACATGGTTACACAAACAGAGAAGCGATTACATTAAAGGATATCTTATGTTTCCGAAAGAAACCCGTTCCCCCCACAAAAGGTATGAATGGACATCAAAAAGTGTGGTGCCGAAGTGGGAAAGGCCGAATTTGGAAGAGGAAATGCAAGTGTGGACTCATCTGAATAATCGAAGAGAATTGCGCAACATTGCTTTTTAATTTTTAAATTTTAAAAAGTCGTAGACTTGGCAAAGGCTAGAAATATGGCTAAGTTTACGAGGCGCTGTAGGTCCAAGTCAAGTGCTGCAGCAAAAAGTACAGCTATTCCTAGAGCTACAGTTACGCCTAAAGCTTAAGATAAGGCTAAAGCTACGATTAGGTCCAAGGCTAACTCTTTAACTAGAGCTACGGCTAGAATTAGGGCTAGAGCTGAAACTAGAGTTAAGTCGCTAGGGTTAGAGGCTGGTGCTAAAGCTAATATTAATACTAAAACTGCGCTAGAGCTTGGACTAACAATAGGCTAGAGCTATGGCTAGGTCCAGCGCTAAAGCTGACAAAAGAACTAACGCTAGGGCTAGTGCCGAGGCCCGGGTTAGGGCAAGGTTAGGTTTAGGGCGCTCGGCTAAAGCTCTGTGCCAAGGCTCTGAAATAGAACTCTGGGCTAAGGCTCTGGGCTAGGGCTCTAGGCTAGGGCTCTGGGCTAGGGCTCTGGGCTAGGGCTCGGGGCTATGGCTCTGGGCTAGGGCTCTGGGCTAGGGCTCTGGGCTAGGGCTCTGGGCTAGGGCTCTGGGCTAGATCTCTGGGCTAGGGCTCTGGACTAGGACTCTGGGCTAGAGCTCTGGGCTAGGGCTCGGGGCTATGGCTCTGGGCTAGGGCTCTGGGCTAGGGCTCTGGGCTAGGGCTCTGGGCTAGGGCTCTGGGCTAGGGCTCTGGGCTAGGGCTCTGGGCTAGGGCTCTGGGCTAGGGCTCTGAACTAGGACTCTGAACTAAGGCTCTGGACTAGGATTTTGGACTAGGGCTGGGGCTGAAGCGTCTAAAGTTTGAACCTCCAAAACTTGTCACAAGATCCCCACGAAAGCGCGAAAGTCCGAATCGTGTTGCTATAATGGTGTGGACAATTGGAGTAATGTGATTAATTGGAGCGTCGCTTAAGGGAATACAAATGGGCTCTGCTATTCAAATTTAAAACATTGCGCAGAGACAAATGGGCCGGTTGTGACATTTAATGAATTACATAGAGTTACAACAAGAAACAAGTCGTTCTTTAAATTTTTAAACTCTTTGAATTTTTGAAAAATTTCAAAATTTCAAAAAATTTTTTTATAGTTTAATTGGCCTTGTTATTAACAGAATATATGAAAAAACTGCCTAGTCTAACTAAAGTAGCTTATCCGTAAAAAACAAAAAACTAAAAATTCACCTAAATCTGGCCCACTAACCTACTACAATATTCAATGGAAACCCAAAAAAAAGCCCACTTCTAAAAAAAAAAACAGATATAACAAAAACTAAAGAGAATATTCCAAAAACATAAAGTACAAACTTGTGAAGCATGGCAAATTTTGAATGCGATTATGGCCAAAAAACAAGTAATTGAAAACAAACACGACTACTTTTAAAAATAGTGGCAGTTTTTTAAAAAAATACAAACATTACTTAACTTATCCTAGCCTTAGCTTTAGCACATAGCCTTATCCCAGAGCCCTAACCTAGAGTCCTAGGGCCCAGAGTCATAGCTCTAGCGCAAAGCCCTAGCCCTAAAGTCCAAGCCTAACCCTAGCTTTAATAACACCACCCTTAGCCCTTTATTGCCTTATCTAAGCCTGAACACTAACCCCACCCTAAAACATTCCGTCGTTCTCCAAATCCACTCCTACAGAATTGGTTTGCGATTTGGCCCTAGCCCTAGCAAGGTTCTTGTCTTAGTGTAGTCTTACTCCTAGTAGAAATGAGAAACGGACCGGGCGGCCTTGAGCAAAATTTATATTAGGCCGAGCCTAACATTCAGGCCCGGGTCGGATCGTTTCTCATTTTTACTTCTAGCCCTAGTATTCCCCAATCTTTACCTTACTAGTTAGCTTAAACCATTTCATTTTTTTTTATTTTTAATTTACAAACTTCAAAAATTTTTCCAAATCCTTAACAATGCAGATCAACTCCAACCACTTAAAAATCGAATTAACTTTTGACCAATGCGAAGGTTTTTAATGAAAGGCCAAAAATTCAGGAAAAAAAAGTCATCAAAACGCAATTCAAAACAGAAACTTGGCTGTAACAAAGCGCTTTACGACTCTTTTATGTGAAGATACTTGTAAACATGAAAAAGTTTAAAAAAGTCGTAGAAGTTGATTAGCTGACGACCCATTAAATCGGGTCATGGCGTCGAAACCTCTCACCCTCCGGCACCTAATTCCGACACGGAATTAAATTTTACGGGTATAAAATTTTAAAAAATTTAAATTTATCCAACCTTCGTAAATTTTTTAAAAAATTTTTAGGCGAGCTTGAGCTTGGGCCAGATCCTGAGTTAAGCCTTAGTCTCAGCCCCAGCCTCAGCTTCAGTTTTAACCTCTGCTTTGTTCTAGTCCTAGCCGTAGTTCCAGAGACAGTTTTAGCTACATTGCTAACCTCAAAAAAATAAAAAAAGTTTCGTTTTAGAAAGATTAAGTATTACCCGAAAACCAAGCCTAATATTTAGCTCTCAGTCTCCACCGACCCTGAAAACCCACGCCCAAATTCCCTTTATCAACCTCAAAACTTGCCCATGCCATTACACTACTTTTTCACAGAATTCCAGCGGCATTACTGCTGGAAACGAGCTCATTCCGGCGTTTAACAACCTGGCGCCCGTATCTTATGCAATTAATGAGCCATAAGGAATGGAGACCAAATCAAAGCGATGCCTCGAAATAGTCAAATCAACTTCTGAAGGCCGTTGAGGACGTTTATGGACTTGGAAAGGACAAAAAATAAAAAAAGTTTTGGGCGGGGTAATTTTTTTCGGGGGGAGGAGTGTGGGATAAGCAAAAATATGTTTGTAACTATAAGTTTGGTTTTGGTCAATCCGGTACTTTGCCAACCCTTTCCCCCCCCCCCCCCCTGCTCTGTTTAAAAAACCGGCACTTGTCGTCAAAAACCCACGATTTCACTTTTTTTAAAGCCATAACAAGCCCCAAAACGCTAATTCCAACACCAATACCCACCATCCCCAAACACGTTTATCCACCCTCTTATCACTCAATAAAAAACCGCTTATTGACACTTTGAAAACGGCCGAAACATTGAGAAATAGACTCAAAACAAGCGGAACCCAAACTTGGCATCCGGTTGGCACTACACTGTCTAAAACCACTTCGCCGATCCGTATCGCCAAATCCGGTGGGAAAATGGCTCCAGAAGAGCTCTTCTTCTTTCGGCCATTAGGCCACGCCCTGGGAGAAGCGGCCAATTTCACGCCGAATGTTTTAAGCCAATTGATGGGTTAAAATGTTGCAATACTATTTTTATGAAGGAGAGGGGGGGGATGAAGAGAGAAGGAGCTACTTTAGCCTATTCTGCCTTACACCACCCTACCCTACCCTACCCTACTGTGCTTAAACTTACCCTAATGTGCCTAATCCTACCCTACTAAAAATATATTGACATAGCTCACGAGCCCTTTCAAATTAAACCACTTCGCCGAGTGTTGCCAGAACATTTTGAAAAAGAGGTGACAAAAGGTCGAAACCCTCATTCATCACGACATTCAAGGTGTGATGAGTGTTCGACCGGCCCGCTGTTGACAACCTCATGCTCTCCGGAGCGTCGAAATCCGTTTGCTTTTCAAAAAAAGATTAAAACAATCAAGGCGTGGGGATGAAAAGTGCCATTTTGAACTAAAAGGGTTTAACATTAAATCAGTAAAACAAAAAAACCACAAAAAATTAAAAAAATTAAAACAAAAATGAAAAACAAATATAAAAAAATATAATATTAAGATAAAAAAAAGTAAAAAACTGAACAAACTAATAAAGAATAATAAAGAAAAAAAATGTTAAACCAAGTCGCCTTGTGGCCAAAGAGAAATTAAAAACGATCAA